GTCGAATGCAATTCGCACCAGATGGCCGCGTTACAGCTGTCTTGTTCGCCCATCCAGATTCCCTAGCCCTCCTACAAGCTTACCCAGACGTAATGTTGCTGGACTGCACTTACAAGACCAACAAGTACGGTATGCCGCTTCTTGACATAGTTGGCGTCGATGCTTGTCAGCGGTCCTTCTGTATCGCGTTCGCATTTCTCAGTGGCGAAACGGAAGATGATTATACCTGGGCTCTGGAGCGGGTCAGGTCCTTGTATGACCAGTGCAACGCTAGCCTACCTGCGGTTGTCCTCACAGATCGCTGCTTAGCATGCATCAATGCTGTAGCCGCTGTCTTTCCATCTTCGGCATCTTTGCTTTGCCTCTGGCATGCGAACAAGGCGGTGCTTCAGCATTGCTACTCTGCGTTCGACCTTGTCAAGACGAAGACAACCAGTAGCCCTGCAGCGCCGAAGTCATCGACTGACAACTGGGGAGAGTTCTACAAGTCCTGGCATTTGATTGTTAGCTCGCCGTCTGAGATGACCTTTCAGGAGCGTGTTTCTCACTTCGAGGAACGCTATCTTACGGACCATCTTGAAGAAGTCGGCTACATTACGTCCTTTTGGCTCCATCCGTACAAGGAGAAGCTAGTGAAAGCCTGGGTTGATCAGCACACGCACTTTGGCAACGTGGCTACCTCGCGGGTTGAAGGCATCCATGCTCTGCTCAAATCGCACCTAAAGAGATCCACGTTAGATCTGTTCGAGGCTTGGCGAGCGATGAAGCACGCGTTACTCAATCAGCTCTCGGATCTGAGATCTAATCAAGCCAAGCAACAGACACGAATACCGGTCGAGCTTTCGGGAACAATATATGGCGCAGTACTTGGCTGGGTATCGCATGAAGCCCTCCGGAAAGTAGAAGAGCAGCGGAAGCTGCTCAGTAAGAATGGCACAGACCATTCCTCAGTCTGTACGGGGGCCTTCTCTCGTGTGTACGGTTTGCCATGTCTACACAAATTAAAGGCTTTACAGGAACAAAATCTTGTTCTGCTACGTGAGCACTTTCATGCGCATTGGCACCTGAGGCGTGAAGGGGCGCCGCAGCTGTTACTAGAGCCTCGCCAGCGCATCGAGCCCAGGTTGCAATCGGAGAACCCCCGAATTCCGGTTTCAAGCACTAGGCGAGACCCAAGCAGCTTTGAAATCGTTGAACTCGCGTCACGGGCCCCAAGCACATGTAGTAGGTGTCATGCGGTTGGCCATATTATGACCTCAAAGGCGTGCCCTCAGCGATATTCACATTTGTTGCCTGAGCCAATTCCTACTCCAGGCCTAGCCCCAACACCGAGTGCAGTCTGTGCCACTACACGGAAAGTCACGGAAAGCCTTCCGTCGAACGCCGTACAGTCCATAATAGCCTTGACTCAATCGACTACAGATGAAGCAGTGGATGCCAGGATGTCACCACCTGAGATGCAACCACCGTCTCGGCGTTCGCGTTCGCCCTCGGTTCTAAAATACGATTCACCTCAGGCAATATACGGACGGTACTGTGCAGCGAGAACCGCCTGGTATGCCGCCCAGCCTCGTGGAAGTGTCAAAACAAACCAGGAGTATCGGAGGGCAATGGGACTTCCGCTGCGTTATGGGAAGAAATGTTATGAGTGGTGTCTTGACTACAAGCAGATGAACAAACGCTGCACCACCTCCAAGGGGTCAAGAGATTGGCTTAAGGAAGAGATGATGGCTTATCTAGACTGGGACAGAGCTGAAGAGGAACGGGTTGATGAGCTTGTCATCGCTGAGGAGGGAGAAAACCCTTTTCGAAATAGCAGGAGAGGTATGGGCGACATCTGGAAACGAGTTGAGAGAGACAACGCCGAACAGGAGGCGTTGTATGCTGAGAATCTGCCCGAAGAGTGTATTGTGGTTAAATCGTAAATTATAGGGTAATTGGAACCCAAGCCGCGGCCCCGATTGGCTCAAGACCCGTGCAGCGAACGTGCTTAGTCATATTCACGGGTACCCGTGGAATTTTACATGCACGGGTACCCGTGAGCCTATTGGGAGCCGATGCGCGGGGTTTCTTGAGTGAACAAGCATTCTCTCCCGACCACTCTTTTACATCGCTCATTCCCTGAATGCCAAGACGAATGCCAAGATGGAGACTATTCCGGACCCCAAACATCTCCCACCAGACCCACGCCTTCCGGGTCAACAGCCTCGATATTCTCGCGACAACACCATCGCCTCTCTTGCGACTTTCTACAAGAGCCTGCCGCACATCGACCCCTCTCTAGTTCGCCGCGCGCCGTCGGGGGGTTGGCCAGAAATCACCCCTGAGTCGCTCGCGGCCTCTGGAATGAGACATCTGAACGAGCGAGTGGTAGACTTAATCAAGCATCTACCCTACATTGATGGCAACCCCCTTTGGGTCACTCCGGAAACTTTCCCCATCAACTACCTTGCCGCCGTGTCTTTGATACCAGCCGTTGGAGTGTTCAAGCCCAAATGGCTGCATGCTCTGTCCCACGACCTTCAGTCGTTTGAAGGCTTTCCAGCTTGGGTGATTCCCCTCACTATGAGTGTCAACAGGGACGGCGACATATGGATACTGGACACGATGGATGGCACAGTGACGAAGTACATCATCACGGGCGCTGTTTACCCCGAACCAGCGGGGAGATATGAAAAGGGCGACCCTAGGATGTGGAGGGAGACATTGTGCGATGATATCACTCTTCCACTGGAGACGTGGCTAGAAGGAATCATCGACAAGTACAAGACATTTCAGTACTTTGGCCTTCCCCGTCATGACCACCCAGGTGTCCTGTCGCAAGGCCACTGGGTTGAAGAAACAAAAGTAAGCTGCCGCGCACCTAGTTTCGATGGGACCGACTGACTTTTCTCCAAGGCACTCCAAGAGATCATGGTCCAAAACGGGTGGCCGGAAGACTACGAGGGCGAAGAGGGCCGCAGGAAACTAGCGGAATGGTTGAAGAAGGCAGGCATCTAGTGTAAGGGTCAATCAAGCGGCACAGGTGCGTCACAACCAGAGGTATGAACATCATCAGAGTTTGTGAATTTGTATTAGAATCTACAGTCAAGATCTAAACATATCAGATACCAGTATACATAGGAATATCAGAGTCAAACGACCGTCCAGGTTGGCTCGGAGGAAGGGCTTGGACGACGCTGTGTTCATGGACAGGCGTTGCCTCAGGTGCCGGCGCTTCCGCGGGCGAGTTGGCCGCCCTTTCGGCCTTGTCCCTGAACGTTCTAGCGACGTCCTTCAGCTTCTCAATCTCTCGTGAGCAACTGCTATCCGTGCACTCATCGAAGCCTAGGTGATCGCGCAGCTCCTCTGGAGTTGCCATCCTGGTAGAGTTGACACCCTCTACCACCAAGCCTGCTGGCTCGACCCAACGCTTCTGCGCTGGACCATTGGGCCAGGTGTCTCTCAGAGCTGCCTCTGCGGCGTGCGAGTCAAAATAGACATCCTCATTGAGGAGAGCGTAGCCGGGGTGCTTCACTCCGTTGATCGTGGGCACACAGATATTGTCCGCGATGCCGTAGTCGTTGGAGTTATCAGGGAGACCATCAAAGTCGAGCTCCCAAACAAGACGTGACAGTGCCACCTTTGTCAGATGCCACTCGATGGGCACTCGGGCATCTGGGTTGATGACGGTGACGGTAGTATGCATATCACTAGCCACAGGCGGCTGACGGCACTTGTCGAAGATCTTACCGGCCTCCCGGTTGTCGACCAGGTCGAGATAACGAACCATCTGTCCATCTACCGAGGGTGGCTTCGCACTGAGTAATCTCCGTACCTCTGTATCACCATCCTTGATCATGGAAGTGAGCAAGCTGTACCCATCGTTCACAGGTGCCATGACCGCTGGCGGGTATTCGTCTGGGGAGCATCCGTTAGGCGCATTGATGACAGGATCCCAGAGGGCTGTCGACCGCTGTTGGTTGAAGACTCCCGTGATGGGACGTTTCTTCTCGTCGATCTTGCGGTAAGGGCAGGTGATGGTCTTGTACTTGGGGTAGTTGTCCACAATGGACTTGTAATTCTTGCAAGCCTCCGGATAGACGCCCCCATTACCATTGCAAGGAATCTTGTAGCCGTTGCCTGGAAGCCTACTTGTCGAGACTACGATTTCACTGGTTCGATGAGATGTCATGTATCGCTTTTGTCTCTTGCAGGGTCTCCCATCATCCGCACGCTTGGCGTTGGAAGGACACGAAGAGGTCTTTGCCGGTGACTGCTGAACATTAGCATTTGGCTGCGTGTAAAAACCAGAAGAAAGATGGCAAATGAAACGTACATGAGTAGACTTTGGCGGTCGTGACACCGTCTTAGATGGCTTGTTGAACGAAACGGAGTGCTCTTTGCCGAAAACCTTGAACACCGCTTTACCCTCTTTCTCGATGCCGTCGGTACAAAGTTGAATCAGGGCTGGTGTCGCGGCGATCTCGGCAATATCCAGAATTTCGCCTAGAGTCACTCAGGTTAGAATAGGAAATGCAGGCGCGACGTGAAAGAGGTATGAAAGTCGTGGAACATACCAATGATCGGGATCGCAGCTTCAATCAACTCCAAGGGTGCCAAGAGAGCAGGGATAGCGAGTCGACAGAAGGCCTTGGCCGCAATGTCGAGAGCTGCTTGTTCGGCCGCTTCTTCGGCCAACTCCTCGGCTTTTTCTTTGGCTTCCTCCTCTAGCTCTTCTTTCGTCGGAGCCGATTCGAAGCCCTTGCAGCAGTAACTCTGAATACCACCAGTGCACGTCTGGTCACCATTCTTGCTGTGGTTATTCGTATCCTGGAGGACCTCGGTCTCTTCATCATCACAGCCACCCATGCATGACAGACCTAGACCGCGGTAGCCGCGCCACTTGCAAGTGCCCATGGTTGTGCCGTCATCGCAACAGAGCGTGCGGTACTTATTCTTGTCGCAGCGATCACTGGTTGAGAGCATGCCAGGCTGCCCATTCATCTGGGTGACCGGATTAGTGCCCTTCTTGCAGCTCGCTCCGCAATCTGTCGTGTAACATGAAACTCCAGCGGCAAGTCCTTGAGCCATTTCCTGGGCGTCTTCTTGCTGACCAGTGGTTACACCGGAAGCGGGAGCCAATCCATTGTCCTCTCCCTGGTCTCTTTGATCCATGGCCCAGACCTAAATCACTGAATGAGCTTGGCGATTATTCTAGGCAGAAAAGTATTACTTACCATCGTGCCTCCCAAGCAGCGGGAGTTGGCAAACTTGCGCTTCTGTTCAAAAGTGTCATCGTCGTCGTACGAGACCCACTGGTTGTCATCCCAGGTAATCCATTTCACCATGGCATCCTTGTCCCATACGGGCTTGACGCCGTTGTAGTCGATGACTCCGTTGATCTCTTGCAGGGTCAAGATGCCCGATGCGTTCGAACACTGCCCTGCCAAGGCACCGCCCGAGAATTGGCACACGCCATTGGGCTTGTTGCAAGAGGGGTCGGAAAGCGTGAAGCTGCGTCCGTACCAACCTAGCCCCAGAATGACCTTGGCAGGCTTTACGCCAGCTCTCCATAGGAGATCAAGGCCCATGTCGATCTCAGTAACATTAGTATGAGGTGCAAGGTATGGCCCGACGAACTTGGACGCAGCGTCCCAAGTTCCGTGCACTTCAAAGTGATGTTAGTCTAGGGTTTAGTGGTGTTGTGTTGGAGATTGAGTGAGACTTACAGTCATAAGCCATGAAGTTGAACCAATCAACATCTGCTGCAATAGATGCAAGATCGAAGTGTTGGAGATACCAATATGACGTCGGCAGCGTCATGGAAATTCCGTAGCGGGAGCCTGGTACAGGTTAATCAAGCCGAAATATCATGGAATTGGATAGGAAACTCACCAAAAGCAGCCCTGAGTTCTTTCGTAAGAAGAGCGTAGTTCTTCTTATCTGCTGTCACGCCGCCTCTGTCATCGGCTTGAGGGTATTCCCAGTCAAGATCAACACCGTCGAAACCATACTGCAAGTGCATAGATGTCAGTCTTAAGAAACAAACTCTTCAATGATGCTGTTCAAATTGGATTGTTGCTGGTGTTCTTACGTGTTCCATGAAGTCAATCAGGCCAGAGATGAACTTCTGCCTGTTGCCAGATGTGCTCGTCATGTCGCTGAAGGCTGTCCTGGTAGCTCCGGGGTCGGTGAATGACCAGCCACCAACAGAGATCCAGGCTTCTAACCCGGCGTTGTTCTTCTTCAGTGCTGTGAATCGGCTGTAAAGTTTTCCGGTCTCAGTGTCCATGGGAGCAATCTGGAAAGTCTTCGGGTCGAAGAATGCAAATGCAAAGTTGATGTGAGAGAATCCGTTCAAGTTGAGGTCCTCCGGTGAGACTGCTTGGCAACTGCGGGTGTTGGACCATCCCTCATAGTAACCAATTGTGCGCTTAGAGACAGAATTGCCTGAACAAGATGGTCTTGTGACGTTTCCGCATCCGCCAAAATCTTTTTGACAGCCTTTACCGCAGAAATCACTTGTTGAACCACAGAATCTATAGCATATTGATCAGCGAATGCATGCTTGACATGGTGTGGTGAAGGTTCATCAACCATATCACTTACCCGAACTCGGAACAACAGACACTCAAGGGGCATTCCTGAGAGCCTTCTTTGCCGTACTGTCCACATTGAGCTTTTGCATCACAATTTGATGTGCAATTGCCCTTGCCACACTCTGTTGGAGAGTAGCCGCAAAGCCCATTGGTGCCACAGCAAGCGGCATTCTCACATGGAGTGTCTGCATTGCATGTGCCAGTCGGAAGGGCTCGTCCGGTAAGAAGGTGGTCAAGAGAAGGAATTGAATAAGGAGTGATGGGCGCGACGTGGTTGTTAGAGTCTAAAGGAACGGCTGAGATGAGGAAAGGAATGGCTGCCAGAAAGGCATAAAGAAGAATGAGTGGAAACATCCCCGCGGCCTTGAACGACTCTTGGAGTCTGGAATGATGGGTGACTACGAAGCAAACAAGTTTCCAGAGCAGAACGGCAGCTCCCAAGACACAAATATGGCAATCGTCTTAACCCATGCCCAGCTCTTGACCATCGAGAACCAGCGTGTTGTTCACCAACAGGCAACGACAGCGTGCTCGCTTACTGGCTCTAGATCCACCCCGGGTTGCAGGGGTTATAGTCGCATTTCGACTCGGGCCATTTGATGCAGAGTGAGATTGAGCTGATGCTATGGATACATGTAGCGTCTGATACAGCCTGTTCCAGATATAATTATGGACTGCAGATTGCTAAAAGCTCACCTATGAACACCCTCAACATGTCGATCCAGGCTCTGATGATCAGACTGTCTCGGCGGCTTCGACCGGCTTGGCAGGAATTCCTCGTCAGCCTGACTTGAATTGGTATCAAATGACCCTTTTTTTCTGAATTATCATCTCACCTGCTTCCGAAGCCATCCCAAATTCAAGACCAACGGCCGCAGGGAGTAAGCAGGTTGGTTGCATGGAGCTGGCGATGTGACCCTTCAAGCCTTGTTGGGCGGAGTATGTCATCTAACCCCTGGCCCCTGTCACAAAAAAGCTTACCTGGACTTGGCTACTCTTGGCCATTCTTGGCTCCCCTCGGCACGAAAATGCCGCTGACATGAACCACTTTTTGAGTCCAGATGACTGCTGCGCCGTAGGCTACTGAACGGCATCGGGCCGCTGTGCTCACTTGGAGGCAAGAAAGATTGAGACAACTCCTTTTCCTTGCAGTTTGAACCAGCAGGCAGACCTATCAAGATGCGTCGCAGCTCGCGTGAAGGAAGAAAAATGCGATTGCCGACTCAGTCGCGGGACATCCGACTCCGGCAAGGATTTCAACCCTGCAGAATGCACTCCCGTCGCGTGCAGTTCTTCAGTCTCCTCGGCTTCAATATCACATTGCTAGGGTAAAGCGTTCCTTGCAGGCCCCATACTTAGAGGCTGCAGGCTGCAGCCTAATGCAACTCCCCTCAGGACTTTGGGATTACTGCTGTCAGACCAATTTCCGTTCCATTAGTGCCGAATCTGATGCCGACAACATCGACGAGAGACTCTAGCCAGCTGGTCATCTGTCAATTATTTTCTCCTAGTTAATTGTGAATGAATCAAGTCCATATACCGAAGGCCTCGCACATGAGATGAGCCGCAGCACCAATCCTGTGTCCGTCCATTCCTTACCAACACAGAGCCCGCCGCTCTAGGCAATTTCCCTCATCATGGAGATTCACTCATTGTGGTTTCTGTTCGTTGCACTTGGTTTTCTTCAAACATGTCATTCTTTCAATCTTTACCCAGCTATCAACGGCGATAAGCTCGCCAAGTCACTGAACGTCACATCAGACTGCATTGCAGCGCTGTAAGTATCTTGAAGCTGCTGCCTCTTATACTCTACCTGGGCTAATGAGCAAGATAGAAACCAAACTATTCCAGAATGTGACCAGACGTTACTGCAGATGACGATGAACCTGGAAAACTACTGGTGGACCGATGACAACCTCACGGCTGTCTGCGACTCAGGCTGTGCTGAAGCCGTTGGATCGTGGAATTACAATGTCTCTGATCCCTGCTTCGAGCAAAGTTTCACAGCATATGGAAAGCTTGTCCCCATTTGGACGGTTACTGAGCGCGTTGTTGACAACCTCATATTTGCCTGTTTATCATCTCGGTTCGTATCACTGCCCGAAGCGTTTTCTCGCGGAATCATGCTGATTTTCCGAAGATCCGACAACTACACATACTGTCTCACAGAATCTCAGGAGTGGGTCGGAGCCGATGTGTTGCGGGTTGACTGTAATGCCAATCCCTCAGATCCCACTTGCGGCGGCAACTCCACCGACATCCCCGAGGCGAACGTTCGCCTAGCCAACCTGTACGAAGACGATATTGTGAGTTAGTCTTTGGTGCTGTCGATGTATACCTTACTGACATGACATCAAGTTGTGCAATGACTGTTTCATTAACCAGCTTTACACTCGCGTATCGTCCATCTTCCTGCCGGATACCGACTACTCAGAGTATCTCGCAGACCAGATTTTTGATATCTCAGATGTTTGCAACAAAACTGTGCCCGACTTCACCGTTGCACTGCCTTGGGATTATCAGACTGCGTCGACCCTGTCTTCCGTAAACGTGGGTTCTTCGACGACTGCCGTGGCCACTGCCACCTCCACCGCCGCTGCCACGACCACGTGCGTTGGTCAGACTATTGGCACCGCCGTTGCATCAAAGAGAGACAATGCTTTGGACTGGATCAAAAGGTCTATGCCAGGATTGGAGCCTAGGCAGGCATCGTCATGCGATGACCTATCGTCTCAGTATGGCGTGAGCACTGGCGCACTTCAGTGGTTTACCAACAGTGAAACCTGCGCTGTGTCTGGCTCAGTATGTCTTCCTCAGCGGTGCACATTACAGAAGGTTGGAAGCAACGAGACGTGGTGAGTATTCCGAACCAATCTTTGCCACTTTGCGCGATTTTAGTGCTAATGAATATCTTTCAAGTACGAGTATCGCGTCATCCATCGGTGGTGACACTACTATTGTCCAGTTTAAGAAGTGGAATACGTACATCCTTGGACTTTGTGACGGTTTGACAGAGGGCCAGTGGGTATGCATAAGGTGAGTAGAACTTTGATCTACCTTATGCCAAGTGTGAAGTGGACTGACCAATGTTGTTGGATAGTTCTCCTGGCGTCAACGCTACCTACACATTGCCTGCACCACCCTTAGGCACAGAAGCCAATGCCGGGAATCAACAACGAGGAGGTGCTGGTGGCATCGTATCGGCCACGACGACTGCAACAGATATTGTCAATCCCGTCTCAGGAGGAACAGCCCCTAGCCCAACCCAAGACGGGCTGGTTACCAACGTAAGACCAACCTTTGGCAATAACCAAAGTGCAAGACTAACTCTTGTGATTGCAGTGCAATAACTACGCCAGCGCTACTGCCGGAGACGGCTGCGAAGCGTTTGCAACGCGTAACTCAATTGCTCCAACACAGCTCTATGCATGGAACCCTGTCCTTGGCACTGCTGGTTCTGAGTGCTCGACAGCTTTATGGGCTAGTGAGTACTACTGTATCGGCACGTGGAAGCCAACTCAGACATCCGCCGTGACTGCACCGGGCCCAACCCAGACTGGTATCACGTCCAGCTGCAACAAGTACGCAGAGGCTATCTCCGGTGACGTCTGTACCGTCTTTGCTTCTCGCAACAACATCACAACCGCTCAGCTCTACGCTTGGAACAGCGTACTAGGAGCAAACGGAGAGAACTGCGCTGGTTCTATGTGGGCGGACGAGTACTACTGTGTTGGTGTCTCTGGATCATCATCAGCAGCGACGACGACACACGCAACAACAACCACAGCTGCAGTCTCAACAACTGCTACTCAAGTCACAGCCCCAGGCCCAACCCAAACAGGTATCGTGTCGAGCTGTTCCAAGTTTGCCAAGGCGCCGTCTGGAGTAGTTTGCGGCGACTTTGCGAGCAGCAACAGCATTTCAACTGATCAGTTGTATGTATGGAACACAGTCCTCGGTACCAACGGAGAGAACTGTGCGTCTTCGATGTGGGCCAACGAGTACTACTGCGTCGGTATCACTGTGGCTGCCCCTGGCCCGACGCAAGATGGCATCAACTCTAACTGTGCTCGATACGCCGAAGCACCTTCGGGAGCGACCTGCACTACATTTTCAAGCTCCAATGGAGTCACATTGGCTCAATTATATGCTTGGAACCCGGTTTTGGGGACGAATGGGGAGAATTGCGCCACAAAGATGTGGGCTCAGGAGTATTACTGTATTAGTGTTACTAAGTAGAATGACCTCCATTTTGTTGGGAGAAGATAATTACCTTAAATTCAATGACTGCTACAAGTTTACACAAATACACCAAAGAGCGAAGGATGGTTGGCCCAAAATATGACTTCTCAGCGGCCTTAGGATGCGGCGTCCTCGAGCGCCAGGGTCATAGGGAGGGAGCAAGTGAGACCGGCCGTACCTGCCTTTCCAAACCTTCCTCAGATGACTTCTTCTGTTCCAGTCTGCCATCCGAATAACTGCTTAAGTAAACCAAAAAACGGATATAGGTTCCATAATTCCTGCAGCCGCCCGTCTTGAACGGCGGATCAGGTCAAACTCTGATTAGTGATGGAGTAATTTATAGTCAACCATTGATACGCCAATGAGACCATGCAAAGGACAGGTCACAAGTTGGAGTTCATTTCCTAGAGTGAGCGCCGAGAGAGGCAGCCCCCAAATCGGCAGCGGAGGTTGAACTCTTTTTTCGTGTTTTTCTTACATACCCTTCGAAGGCCCTTTTTTGCGATGAAACATTTGTACCTCGCTCCTATATCTCTTCTAAAGTCTCCTTAGAGCATGTTCAACAATTTTCGAGAAAAGAAATGGCACCAAAGTTGAGCAAGTAGATGCCTATTTCTTTCGCAATTGTTTCTTTAGGCTTCTGTTCAAAGAACAACAGAACGCACCTTGGAGGCTCTCTTTGGTCCGCAGCCAGATTCTCCAGTATGCCTGATGTGCATGGTGGGCTGATGGCTGTTTCTAGACTTGGCAGCATGAGTACTGGTCTGCCTTGGAACGTAGGCGCCGTTGTTGGCTGGCAGACTCAAACCAATGAGCAACCAAATTGATGTCAAAATTTAGACCAAAACTAGACCTGCATGGTTGGAATTGCGAGAATAATGACATGGTATGCATTGGAGCCTAATAAGCCAAGATGTAGCATGGAAACTGCATGGGACCAAAAAACAACCGCAGGTCCTTTCGCCACTTTTCGGTGTCTTGAACATGTGTTGGGACGGTCGCTGCGGGAGGCCGACCACCAACAAAGACATGCAGCATGGCATCCAACCAGCTTTGACTGATATTTTTGGGCACCGTATATGAATACAGCCCAACCCCCAATCAACCGTCTTCTGCTCCTGGCGTCGAAAGTTTCTCATCTTCCCCAAAGCCTATCACCATGGCCTACAAGAACGCAGACCTTGAGAGGGTGTATTGCACATGTAGAGCAATCTTCAGCGGCAATGATGCTCTATTGCGCAGAAAGAAGAAGGTCAAAGAGGTCCTGATCAAGAACACAACCACCGTTAAGCCACTTTTCATCAGCTTTGGCGAGCAAAAGACCATCCTCATGTCGCAGCACCTATTGGAATGCCGGGTATTTGAGTCCGACCTCCGCGCTAAAGTCATGTTTCCGAGCCTTTTCCAAAGCACCCCGCAGCAAGATGCTGACCGAGAGGCTTCGGAGGTCGATGCAGTGAGATCGGTCGCAAACGCCTTAGACGAGATGAGTCAGTCGGAAGGCGAGGATGATGACGATGAACTTGATCATATTCCCGAATCATATCCCGAGGAAGCAGTTCTTGGTCCCATAGCAGAAGAGGTCCCAGGAGACGCGCCTCTTGCCGACGAGCCTCTTGCCTTAGTCGAGGCTATAACGCCTCCCCAAGATCTCGCAAATATGTGCGATATCGACTCGGGTAAGTTATGAACAATTCTCCAATTACGAAACTTCACTGACAAGGCATAAGGGGTCACTCTGACAAGTCCACCGCCACACCCTGGGCTCCCTTCTTTGTATCCCGCCTGCCTCCCTTACAAAACGCAACATGACATCCTCACCACCACCCAGAGAGTTCTGGAGGAATGCTGCTTTGATTTTGCGACCAAATGGATACCAGGCGTTCTTCAATCCCAAGGCTGGGACTGTCCCTCAGCGGTCGAGCTGACGAAGTGGACCAAAGTCTTCAACAGAGCTGGCCTGAACTTGCCTGCGCACGCGACCACGCCTGCAGGCACCACCATCAAGGATGTTCTTTTCCGTACACGCCAGCTGAGGCACACGGCCGTGCACAGACAGCCCACGACTGCCCGCGAAATCAGCCAACACCTGCGGACGGCACTGAGAGTTGCCAAGACTCTTCAAGACGTCTCCCGCGCTGCTCAGCTGGAGGACTTGATGTCCGAGGTCGATGAGAAGATCAAGGCCATGGTACTGACGAAGAATGTTCTGGAGAACCGCACTCTGTTCAGCCTCGACGATATCCGCCGTCAACGCGAGGAACTTGATAGACAAGAGAAGGAGATGATTGAAAACATGGTGAGAGAGGATCGTGATCACAAGGCGCTTATCGGTCGCCTGCTTGAAGCCGCCGTTGATGACATCTTTGAGAAGAAAGTGACTAGGGGCCAAATGCTGGAGGAAGCCGAAAATGATGCCGCAGATATCTACTACGAAGCCAGTGAGGACACCGTGAATGGGGCTGTCGAGGATTCCGACATGAGCGAAGGCAATAAAACCCCTAGGGAGGATGGAAAAGACATTCCTGAACTTTTTGAATGGGACGAGGCACTTGGATTTGTGAAACCGGTCCAGTCTTGACGCCTAGGGGGGTTTCAGTTGTGAGTAGATACAAAATATCAAATATATCATGACTTCACACAGGAACGCGTGAGACATCCTCTTGAGTTGGCGAGGAATTGGCTGTGGTATTGTGCAAGCACTCTACCACGAGATGACGCATCTATGTTTCATCGCTGCGCCACCTCAGCATGGTTTTCGCATTGAGGATGATAGGAACAACGAGGCACGGTCTCCGAGGATGTCGTTCGCGCCTTACGGTGAGTGGATGCTTTTAGATCTCGCGCTCACCGAGACCACCGGCCGGCCGGAGGAAGAGTCTCGGAGTACCGACCCCGCACTAGGCCGAAACAAGAGTGATGCGGGGCTGTCAGGTACCAATCAAAAGAGTCAATCTCAAGATCCAGAAGTTACTGCCCGTGCTTCCTCAGATCGATCTTTTGGACCCCTCATTGATGTTGTGTTCCCCGTTTGCGGAATGCGAAGATACAAGATAAAATCACCATCGATACCTAGCCAGATGGAACCAAAGATACTCTGATACTGCAATTCCTCAATATCAAAGATACCCGGATGCCACAGCCGGTCGCACACAAGCGGATGTCACGTGTGACGGATAGCAAGCAGCGGCCCCGCCGTCGCCACCTTCCCGACCCCCCCGGCTTTTCAAATTTTCGTCCGGGCCAGAAGGAAGAGAAAAAAAATATGGCGAAGGGCGTGGGGCAATCACGCAAAGGGCGCTTGCCATGCCGCTCTGTTAGCCGGCTCCTACTGCCTTACCTAGTCGAGTGGTCCCTTCATCTAGCCGCTGCTCATTGTCACTGCCTTGACCTTTTCTTTGACTGAACATACTTACCATATTTCTGTTCCTAATACAATTCTGTCATTGGAATCCCCGGCCGACGACATGCCAAACATGGACGAGGAGCAGCCTTTGCTGGTCGAAGACCCCATCTGCGAGGAAGACATCTCAAAGCACTTACTCGACTTTGATCCCAATGGCGACCCTGAGAACCCCAGGGAATGGCCCGCACCTTTCAAATGGACTCTGGTCGCATTGCTGGCGCTCACCGCTTTCACCGTGTACGACAACCATCGAACATGATGCGTATTGCATCAAACATCTCATGGCCACATTTGAGCTGACATACGTCACAGCACCTTCACCTGCATCTCAGTAGTCCCCGTAGCTGCCCACATCATCCAAGACCTAGACCAGAATGAAGGCACAAACTCACCAGCGAGCGCCCTGCTCGTCACAATCTGGGAGCTCGGTGAAGCTGCCGGCCCCCTCCTCATCGCGCCCCTTTCCGAGATCTACGGACGCTACCCCGTCATGAACGCCGCCAACATCCTCTTCATCATCGCCACCGTCCTCGCCGCTATTAGCACCAGCACCCCGCTCCTCATCGGCGCCCGCTGCCTCACCGGTCTCGCGGTCGCTTCTAATGTGTTGAACCCGGCCATCATCGGCGACATGTTTGTTCCGGACAACCGCGGCTCGGCGATGAGCATAGTATCTCTTGCCCCGCTCATCGGCGGTGCGGTCGGCCCTATGATTAGCGGCGCCATTGCGCAGACCCTCGGCTGGAGACAGGTCCTCTGGATGAGTGCTGGTTTGGCGACTGTGTGTGAGATTTTGTTCCTTACCTGCTTCCGGGAGACGTATAAGATGACCATCTTGAGACGACGTGCTGCGAAGCATGCGGATGAGCACGGGGCACCTCTTCATCCTGCCGGAGTTGATGATCACAAGAGCCTGATCAAGCTGTGGGAGTCGATCAAGCGGCCTTTCTTTGTATTGCTCAAGTCAAATGTTTTGATGGGATTGTCGTTCTTTGGGTGCATAACATTCGCCTACTTTTACGTCATGTCCATTAGCTTGCCTGTCATCCTCCAGGACGTGTATGGCTTCTCGCCTGCCCTTACTGGTCTTTCGTTCATGTCCTTCAGTAAGTCCTACTCTGAACTTTTGCATGGTACGTTTGTGTTCTAACAATCATAGGTATTGGTTCATTCATCAGTGTCATCGTCAGCAACTTTAGCCTGGATAGGATCTACGTGAAGCTTCGCGGCAACGACCCCGTCGGACGTCCCGAGTACCGCCTTCCGCTCGTCATCATCGGCGCGTTCACCCTGCCCCTCTCCATCACCGCGTACGGCTGGATCGCAGAACTCCACCTTCCTGTCGGTCTTCTTCTTCTGTCGGTCGCGATGCTCGGCTTCACTCTCCTCATGGCCTCCCTTCCCCTCTCCGCATACGTTGTCGACGCCACAGGCCTGTACTCTGCTTCCGCCATGACTGGCGTCATCGTTACGAGATGCCTGGCTGGCACTTTCCTACCCCTTGCGAGCGGACCCATGGTGCAGTCTTTCGGTTATGGTTGGGGTTTCACCATGCTGGGTGCTTTCAGCATTTGCCTGGCGCCCATCCCGGTCGTTATCATGAGATACGGTCACGTTTGGCGCCAAAAGTCCGAATACACGAGAGATGCCTGAAGACGTCATGAGTTACGATGCCACTATCATTAATGCATATTGCCAGGAAAGGAAAAAGTGATTTACAATGTGTTATGGCTCTATACAGTATGGGAGGTTTTTCCTACTTAACTTAGATTCGGCGTTATCGAGAGGCATAATTCAACAGCTTTGGGAATAGAATCAATTAATAGTCAATCATTATACAGAAGCATTGTCAGGCTTGTCTTTGTTCCCACTCTTTGAAAGCTTCCATGGCTTCTGCTACCGAATCCCGTCCCATCAACTCCATACGATAATCCTCATCCATCAACCGCCACCCCGTCGGCGACAATCCATCCCTCAGCGGTGCGCCAGTCATCTCCGCATCGCGAGCCTCCTGCTCCGGTCCGTCGCGAACATGATACCATTTTCGATTCGAGGTCGCACCCCGCACATTCACCGTCGTCCGATCTTTCCGAAGCGTCTCATACAGCTTCAAGATTTCGGGGATCTGTGCTGCCATGTCATCCGCCCCTGAGGAATCTTTCAAGAGGCCCAGAAGCTTCCCGATCACGGCACCGTCCTCGACAGCCATGGCTGCGCCCTGGGCTTGGTAGGGAAGACTCGGGTGGCATGAATCACCCAGCAGAGTAAAGCAGCCTTTGGTCCACGTCTTCAACTCGGGGTGCGTGCATAGCTTCCACTTTTGCACTCTCGGTATCAATGAGATGAGCTTTGTCAATCTAGGCAAAGATTAGGTACCAGAAGCAACGCGAGAAATCTCACCTCGCAGCTTGCGAAGCAGCCGGAAACTCACGTCTCGTCCCATCCTCGATAGCTTTCCCTCATCTCTTCGATATCTCCTTGGACACGCTTCTCTCCCGGTTGCATATTATCCGGCCTGATGAGCACGAGGTTGAACTCCCGCCCGCCTCTGACGGGGTAGAAGACGGTGTGCTTGTCGGGTCCCATCCACACCGTAGCCTGCTTCCGCGCACAGAGATCGTCGACACGGGGATCATTGAGAGCTTTGAGGTAGTCAAACGGAAACGTAGCGCGATATGCCAAATCTCCCGTCTCAACCGGCGGCGAAGCCGCTCCAAGAAGCTGATCACGACAAATAGACCAGAGCCCTGTCATCAACCATCAGCAAACACAACTCCTCCCAGCCTGCACATCCTACTCACCATCAGCACCAATAATCACATCCCCGCCGATATCATCCCCGTCCTCGAGATACACCCTCTTCTCGTCAAAATCAATCCTTTCAACATCCATATCAAGACACAGATCCACGCCAATCTCCTTGCACGTTTGCCACAGGATGTAGTGCAAATCAGCCCGGTGCACAACCATCCAGAGATCGCCGTACCGGGCCTGCGCGTCCTTGGCCGAGAGCGTGTGCAGGTGCGCGCCGTCGGCGTACCTGCGGTACTCCATCCCATCGATGACGACCCCGCATTGGAGGAGTTTGTCGAGGTAGCCAAGTTGTCTTGCAATTCTTGTTCCGTTGGGTGGGAGTTGGAGACCTGCGCCGATCTAGATAAATATTAGCTTGGATAAACGAGTGTATCACTGAAAGCGGGAATAAAGCTTGCGGATGGCAGTTTTCGGCGCCAGTTGAGCTTACCGGGACCAGCCTATTCGCCCTCTCGAGGACCACCACCTCGAACCCCTCTCTCCTACACGCTATCGCACAAGCGAGGCCGCCGAGACCTGCGCCGATGATGAGGACTCTCATGTTGGCATCTGGCCCTGGACGGAAAAGAAATTGCAGTCAATTGGACCGGTGATGATCACCTTGGATAAGTTTGTTATTATCTAGATTCACAATCTGTCCTGTCCCGTCACGGCCGTAGCTCACCCCCGCTACTTAAAGGGGTCTCCGGCTTGAACCTGCATCATGCAGGAAACCCCGCGTCGGATCTATGCCGTGCCCCACTACCGAACCGCTGAGTGCCATTCGCGCCGAACTCTGAGGGGCAGGTCACGCAGCAACTTCTACGGAGTGTAAATCTCTTGGACACGACCAATTTTTCGAAGGCTAGCTACATATGTCACCCGGTAGACATCGCTTTCGGTGGAATCTGATTGGATAGAGGGTACCCTCGACGGCCTCGCGGTTCTTACTTGCGGCCCGAGTCTATTCACTCTAGCGTCCGGCCTTGGATAATTGTTTCGCTGTTCCTTGAATAAGCTAAAAAGGGCAACCCAATTGCCCCCACGCTCTTGTCCTCCTGCGGCTCAAAACTTCAATTAGAACCTTTGCGCTTGATCTACTCGGAATAGCCGAGTTTCGCTTTCGGAGCGGGGTATCCCGAAGATGCCCTTCACGTCGGAATAAAGTGAGAAAGGACGGGAAATCCCTCTAGTAATCAATCAACACCTTATGCCCTCATTCCTTCATCGGCGTCCTCGATTACTCACTCTACCTAGGTAAACCACTCCGGATTTCGCTCTCCACTTTCTCGGTGACCGCTGGACTGGCATGTTTCCGTGTCCGACATCTCCATGGGGACGTGGCAAAAACTCATCCGAACATGAACAGGCTCCACGATCTCCAACCCCGCGATATCCGCCGCTTCCTGCCCCAAAGCTGAGAAATCATACTGCCTTTTCCCAATGACACCCAAAAGCACAAATTTCCCCGAAATCGCCGATCCGGTCTTTGGTTTCTTCATCTCAACATTCCATGTGCAGCCCAGCGCCTATCTGCGCGCTGCCGTGCACGGGTACAGGGCGTTCGCGGCGCGCCGCGCCGCGAACGATATGCAGATTGCTAGAGAGGTCATGAGGCCCGTGGTAGACCACCCGAGTCTGCCGACGGCATCTTCGGTCTCCAGGGGGTGCGGACGAGAAAATAATCAGTTACCGACCGTTCAAGATGCATCGAAGACGAGCGATCCGTAAAGCTATGTAGGCACTCGAGTGGTTTGCTGGATTCATGTTTAAAAGCACGTTGTCGCAGAGTCGCGGCTGCTCTAAAGAAAGGCAGTTCTTTTCCAATGTTCCTCGAGCTTAATGGGAATGGTGTCAAATGTGCAACGATGGAATTTCAAGCCCTCGTGAGATATGAACACCAAGGGAGTGTATTTTACGGCAATCTCGTACGAACTAGTGAGTTTGGGTACACTATCGAGAGACTGCACGGGAATCTAGATGTCGGACTGGAGAGAGCAAATATCAGGGACACGGCGGTAAAAGTAAGTGTTAGAGAGCTTGCGGCCAGCTAGTCTGTGGACTTTTCCTTCCAACATCGCGAAGACCAATGCTGATTCGACCGACTCCGCGATGTAGCTGCTTTGCCCGTTGGAAAGAACGCCCATCATAATGTGCCTGGGGTTGAACTATGCCCGATACGCGATAGAATCAAATGTAAGTAAAAATGTCCATTTGAAGTATTCTGCACGGTTCCCTAAACCAGCGGCTCATAGCTTCCCGTATGCGCTTTTCCCATCATCTTCACAAAGCCTCCAGATGCCCTCGCAGGCCCCCACGATCCGATCATTGTCCACCATGACGCGCAGGACAAGCTAGACTACGAGGGTGAGCTCTGCGTCATTATTGGTCGGGACGTCAAGAACGCGACTCTTCACAACGCCTTGGACTATGTCCTCGGGTACGCCGCAGGAAACGACGTGACCGCCCGCAACTTCCAGATCCCCGGCGCCTCGGGTGGCCAGTACTCCTACTGCAAGTCCTTTGATGGTTTCGCTCCTATCGGGCCGGCCATCTGGTCGCCGAGTGTCATTCCGGATCCGCATGCGTTGCGGTTCCGCACCAGGGTCAACGGGAAGGTCGTCCAGGAGACGGAGACGTCTGATATGATCTGGTCAGTGGCGCAGGTTATCGTGCATCTTTCGCGAGGGACGACGTTGAGAAAGGGGACTGTGATTATGATGGGCACGCCCGGGGGCGTTGGATACTCGCGCGGTGTGTTTTTGAAACATGGGGACATTGTTGCAGTTGAGATTGATGGTCTTGGGAGGATCCAGAACGAGATTGTGTTCGAGGGAAACCGTGTAGTGTAAGTAGAGTGCTTGTCGTCTAAGAGCAGAAAGTCGGGATGATATTCTGTGGTCAAGTGAGGGCTTCTTTGACTTTCAATGTTTTCATTCCAGGCCGACCCCTTTCTTGAATTCAGCTAGCCATTCAGGGATGTCTGCAGCCGTTTGATTCCACGGGTCATCACTGCCAAAGGTAAGTCAGTTCGCGTGATCCTACAATGGGATACATGGCAGTATTGACTCATCGAAAATTACCCATCTTGCATGGTATCTGAGCTCATCATCTGAAGGAATATGCATGTTGGGGTTCTGAGGTGAAATGGTGGTCGCAACAAACCGCGATAGTTCCCCTTCCAAACGAGCATATCTGTTAGGGTCGTTCAGAAAGAACGGCATATCAGTGCCTCTTGACCGCTCAGATCGTCTAAGCGAGTGTCCAGATCCTTCAAAGATTGATTTGGCAGTTTGCAACCGCGTGTATAGGTCACTGGGTTTCGTTGACATAGAATCGAAACTGAAGCCCGGGGAGATGTAATCTTGATCGTCGACGGGGTCGCAGTAGCTTGAAGATATCTGTGTGTAAGCTGATCCCAATCGAGTGGTTGGTCGTACTTTGCCAGCCGACATTGGTATTAGCCTTTCTGCCTCTCCCGTCAACTGGTTCAGCTCAGCTAGCCCCGTGAAGAAGCTGCTGAGGTGACTACCAGACGTGTTCGCCATGGAATCTAGACATGGTACTAGTTCTTCATAGGACTCTCCTGCAAAGGCTTCGGCCCTCTGACGTAGTGGTGCCAGCCACGATGTTGACTTCCACATGAGGCGGACTATGAATCCAGCAAATCTTCTTGAAGGGTTCGTCGATGCCGATTCTATTCTGTTCAGAATGACGCAAGCTTCTTGCTGAAGATCATCGTCAGAGGGCGTGAGGCCTAGAACGAGGTGTTCTCTGAGATGCCTGCATAGTTGAGCCTCTAGTTCACAGTCCTCAAAGATGTCCGTCTTGCCAATTATCTGGAGTTGAGTCGCGCGAAGTTTGGCTAGTTGATAGCATTGGTTCATTGGGCGGAGACGCGCCTTTTCAGACAACTCCGTATCGTTCATCAACAAGTCTCGAAGCCAGGATGACGCATTCGGCGTGCCACTGGGCCTGAAAAACTCGGAGGCGTACAAGATAGTACAAGCCTCGTAGATGACCTCATCGTCCGAGGGCAGTCGCTCGTGTTCCTCAAAGTAGTTACGAACAAAGTATTCTACTTCAAGCTTGAGGAGTTCGTATGCACTCGGTGCCGAACCAGCCGGCGAAACACTTGCGCAGTACGGAACAGGCGCACTTTGTTCAAACTGGATTACGCCTTGTGGAATGGTGAGTTTTTGGAGTTTTAAAGACTAGGTAAGTTTCACTTACAAGGAGGCACCGCGTTATCGACTTTTGCGAGTATTTGGGGCTCAAAACCCCAATCCCCTTTCCAATTTGACATGGTGTTTCCGTCGTCTCGATAGTGGTCCGCAATGTGGTCCCCGCGCGTCGCCCATGAGTCAAAGGTGATTCCACAGAAGCCACATCTTGACCGAATCTTGTCCGTGGTAACCTTCCAAGTCTCGGCGGTTTTAGACATCTGACTTGTCTTGTGTACAAGTTTCAAATGTTGCCGGAGATGATCTTTTCGGTAGTACGTACGCTCTTTGACCGGCCGTTCCGAGCAGGCTGCTTGATGGTGGTCGTCGAGGTGCTGTTGGGTTGGGTTGGCCTCGTCACAGAAGACGCAAATCTCCCCTTTCTCAGGGTGCTGTGTGGTCGACCCGTGCGGAGAACACACCCATTCCTCAAGTGAGAGGTGAAGGGACTTTTCGTGTCTTTGCCAGTCATACTTTGTCTTAAAGGTTTCAGCGCAGAAGGTGCATTGGTACGTATTGATCTGTCGAAGGCTCAACCTGTTTCCCCTTCGTTCTTTTAGCATTGCTCGTCTTCTCCGACGATTTGGGTCCTTTCGGAGTGTCTCCATAGAGGTCGGAGATTTGCTAGAGCCATGGGAGTATGCCGAACCATTGGAACGCGACCCCCCACTTGATTGAGATGTGCCAACGCTACTGATGCTAGAGGCGTTCTCCCAAGATCCTGCCGAAGATCGAGAGCGGCCCAAGAGTCCTGGAGGCTTAGATGATGCAGCGACTGCGCGAGAAATATCGGCAGCTAAAGCAGGCTCGCTATCTGGTGGAGAGTGCTCCCATCGTTGCATCGGGTTCATTTGCTCGAATGCCATGGGCGTTGGTCGTCGAACGGGCACGTCTATGGGACTAGAACCAGCCTCGGTCCGGGCGGGCGTGGAGGCCCCGCCTGGGCGAATCTTCCTGCGCCGACGGGTATTTGCGAACCAGTTGGTAAGTTGCTGTTTGCTCAACCCTGTTTTCTTCAGTAATCGTTCGGCCTGATCCGGGGTCGGATACGGATGCCGCTCGTGGTTTTCGAACCATGTTTTCAGGACTCTGATGTTTGCTGATGTGAAGCGACTGCCCACTTTCGTTCCGCCCTCCGTGGTATTCGACGTGTCTTGTAGTGGCTCACGTTCTTCGAAGAGTGGGACACCCCCAGACACGCTTGAAGATGCAGAAATCCGTCCATCTTCAGACTGCATTCCATCCACTGCATCGTTGGGATTCCTCGAGCCTTTGGGAAACGTATCGGAAAACGCTTCGTCGGAGAGAAACAGACTGAGGTCGAAATCATCGTCCACCTCATTGGATCGCGCATTTGTCAGAGCATTGTCGGCCATTGACAATGACCTTTCCATCGCTTCTTCCCGTCGAACGGCTTGCAATAGTCGCAGTGAGCGCAGATTTGAAGGTTCTCTAGTCTTGACAGTAATCCTCAACGTGACGCAGTGAAGTTGGCCGATGTTGGTCGGTGGTGGGGGTTTGAAGGATGGGGGCGCATTGATCACAGTGAGGTGGGGAGGTTGTCAAAGAAGGGCGGTGATATGGGCGCTAATCATGCAGGCAAGATCCCTCTGCCATTCTGTCGGCGCCTTACTCATCTCGGACCTGGCTGACTAAATCCTGCTGCTGCTGTAGGTATTACCTGCCCCAAACGTGATTGCCTTGGTTCAAGTTGAAGAGATGATGATGCAAATAGTGCGGTCAATTGCGGTCAAATGGCAGTAGACATTGGGGTAGGTAATTCCTCGAGCAACGACACCAGTGGAGATATCAATCGATGCCTAAAATTCTGCGTTGTCGATGATTGCAAGAGAACAAGGTGCACGTACTAAAGTCAGCTGGTATCTTTCTTCTTACGAAGAAAATTCGACAATTTACGACACAAAATCGCTCAGCAGAGCAATGAGTGCTAAGACAGAACACAAGGAATAGGCCCAACATGAGTTGAGACTTACTGAGGCATCGGAAAGAAGACGCAACAATATTTAGTAAAGCGAAAAATAGCCGTAATCAACACAAAGGCAGGCTGTTTACTTCTAGAAGCCTCGTTCGCGATTCCATGCCATGTGGTTTCCCCATAGGTTTTCGGGCCTTATTCATGCTCATTCCCTACCCCACCTCAGATGCACTCCGTAGGTCCACGCCCTAGCGCGTGATTGAGGGTATCATGACCCTTGCTCACGATGGACCTCATTATTGCCGCAACCCTTACGATCCATAATTTTCCATATTGCATAAGACTCCAGAGCACAAAATTTCTCAGTCAACACCTGCGATAAATCGCGTCGATGGTTTAGTGGTAAAATTCTCCGTTGCCATCAAGCAGCGTCGGGGAGCCGGGAGTTCGATTCCCCCTCGACGCATTCTTTTGCCTCGTGCCGTCAGAGCTCGCTGTGCGATTTTGACAGACAGTCGATCCAATTGATTTTTGCTTCGTCGGCATGAACCTAGCTAGACCAGCAATAGCAGTTAGTCAAAACTGTCCATGAAAGTAGACCGGGACTTCAAGCATTGGCTGGGCATTAGATATTTAGGAACGGAGAGTATGTTATCTCGATCTCCAGTCGGCTTGGCCATTACATGCTGTTGGTGCAACTAGCTCTATTATGTGTTCCGTGTATCGAACTTGTAACGGCTGTAAGTTGACGTTTTCGGTCGGCAAGGATCAGCTGCGTCGTAACGCTTCTTGAGAATGCATTGAATGAGCCGACTAACATTGTGTCATTATCAACATACTCATTTAGAGTGAGAATGTTCAATGCAGTGATACGCGAAATACCTGTAAAGTCAATCATGTACTCGTTATATACCGCGATGCGACAATGCTTTCTGAATATGAGAAGCCTCAAAGCTGCATCTCACTTCAATCTGGTCAGAACTATCTCCTTTCTTCCTGCTTCACATATAGAAACACTGCCCGATTGCGGTATTTGGGTTAAAGGAGTATTAATATCTGTTGTAAAATAACTTCGACGCCGTTGAACCTTGACAATCGTCGAAGCCCAGGGGTTCATCTTATCTTGCTTGGGCAACCCATGTAATGGCGCTATGGCGATCCTATCACACCCACTGTCACCTGCCGGTTTTGGTGACTTTGCCCCACCGGACGTGCATCCCGCCGGTTGCCGGACTCCCGCTCTTCCATTACACTCTCTTAAACCACGCCCGTCCCACCTCTCGAATGTCGCCGTCACCAACTCTTTGCTCACTTCGTCTCTGTGGCAAGGCATTGGAGGTGTCTGCTGAGCCATCAAGTAGTCAAGAAGTATTCCTGACGAAGCAATGGGCACAATCAACAACCAGCCCGGCGGCGGGCAGGGCTTACTCAAAGGACTCCTTCTCCTCGGATCCCTTGCAACCTTGGCTTGCGGAGAGCAGTTCCACGTCCAGCGCGCGGCGCAATACGAAGAGCTGGATGTGCGGAGCCCCAGAGTCGGGCATGTCTTGGCTCATATGGATCGTATCGCATACGACGCAGATGTCACGCCTAGCGCGACCGCGCCGCCAGCCTCTACGAGAACACCACTGCTTGATACCTTCCAAGTGGCCGAGCCTGTCCTTGAGCCTACAGGGCAAGCAGTTACGGTCACGTTGATGGAGCACCAATTTGCCAACAGCTATGGCACCCCTTTCGTTGGAAACTATTCACCCCCAGACTTTGACTTTGATCACGTCGTGCTCAACTTCACCGTCGAAGTTAAGGGCAGGCAATTTGATCGTTGGGGATCGGTATACCTGGGCAATGTCAACATCTTCGCGACCTCCACCGCCGAGCCCACGTCGTACGGTATTACTTGGACCTGGTTGAAGGATTCCACGCCGTATCTATCACTCTGGAAAGAACCGCAGACTCTCATCTTCCAACTTGACAATGTCATCACGGACGTCTACACGGGCCTGCTCAACTCCACTCTCACGGCCACCTTCTTCAAGAGCCCCGTTCAGACCGGAGGACAAGCGCCAGCGGACCTCATCCTGCCAGTTTCTGCCAACAAGAGCCCAGTCACTGCCAGCTTCTGGACCTACCCCGAAGAGAACGCCACTGCTTCTGTTCAATTCCCTCGTAACGTCAACCGGGCCGTCTTCTCCACGTCTGTCAAGGGACAAGGGAACGAGGAGTTTTGGTGGAGCAACGTCCCGCAGTCAGCCGTCGATGCTTTTGTGCCGGATGTAGGTAGTTATCCGGGATACTCGCCCTTCAGAGAAGTCCAAGTCCTCATCGACGGACAGTTGGCGGGTGTGCACTGGCCTTTCCCGGATATCTTCACTGGCGGTGTTGTGCCGCAGCTCCATCGCCCGATTGTGGGTATCAACGCATTCGATTTGCGGGACCACGAGATCGACATTACCCCATGGCTGCCTCTTCTTTGTGATGGGAAAAACCACACTATTGGCATCAAGGTTGTCGGTCTAGTGGACGATGGCAAGTCAAGCGCCGGTCTGACAAATACCACGGGTAGTAGTTGGTACCTTGTAGGCAAGGTCTTCCTATGGCTTGACGACGAAGGAAGCATCACGACGGGTGTCATCTCCAAGAAAACAAACCCTGAGCCCTCCATTGCCTTCTCACAGACGCTCAAGCAAAACGCTACCGGTTTCAACTCGACCCTGGACTATTCCTTATCGGTGCAACGTGATTTCACAATCACCTCGTTCCTCACTACGCAGAAGGGCAACGGCACGGCCACATGGAAGCAGAGTCTCTCATACTCTAACGTCGGAGGTCTGTATGCCAACGGTTACGGAGGCATCAACACGTTCTCGACAATCGGGGAGGAGACGTCGAAAGTTCCTGGTTGGGACTACAAGACGACCTTTTCGTACCCACTCTACTGCAACACAACTACCTCATACCTCCCGGCAGGAAATTTGACCCTATGGGCACAGCTGGATCAAGGCCTCAAGCTTCACGTCCAGGGAAACACCGTCTACCCGACCGGCCTTGAAGCCTTCCAGGGCGAGGGGTCAAAATGGGTAGGCAGCGTCATTGATACGGATAGGAATGGCACCGCGAACTACTCCCGATACGCAGACAACACCGTTACTTCGGGAGCCGGACGTACGCACCAGATCTTCAGTCTTAGGGGACTGGATAGTGACGGGACTTACGAGACGCCGGGAACGGAGCTCTACTTCCGTGATGTGACTGCGTACAACAACTCTGTGATAGCCGACAAAGAAGTCATTGCAGGCAAAGCTGTGACGGGGCGCGCCTAGGAGTGGTCTCGGGGTTTATTTGACATATCAATTCAAATTCGAGATACGTGTAATAATTAGAACAATAGTTCTGGAAATAGGCTTGAACGAATACTATAATCAGTGCACGGCTTGAACTATGTATGCTCAGTAGAAGGGGCCCGGGATCACTATGAGGTGCTCCAAGCGTTGGCGTTGAAGTTCTGGTGCACCGTCGTTGTTTATGAGGTTCTGAAAGTCGATTGTTTAAGCACATTCAATAGTTCCGCATCATCCACGGGCCGCGCGGGAGTACCAGGTTCAACGGCTGTTGTCACCCGGAATTTCGGCACGCTGTCTTGTAGACGAGACGAATTTGGCAGTAGCTAAACCCGAAACTTTATCTAGCAAACCATTACAAAAATCTACGCCTATGGTAATATTATCAAGCAGTGGGCAAACACATTTTGATGGGAGCCTCGGTGGTGCCTCTTTGAGGTAATCGTATCTCCGCATTTCTTCAGAGCTGGAACTCAATCACAATTACCAATCTATCTTCCGGTCTCAATACCCTCCAAGACCATCCCTTGCTTGGTAAGATCATTAATAATACAGACCTTTGAGGCTTTACTTTCTACTATCTGGAAGCCTCGCAAACACAACAGTTGAGCAACCTAAGGCAAGATGCAAGAAACCGCAACTGATGAAGCAAATCAGGTGTAGTATAAAACCTAGCAAGATGCCGCGTACAGCTCAAGATGTAAATGATACTTCTCATATCAACTTCAATCTTCGTCATTTCTCCTTCTTTCCATTGCCACAAGTCACCTAAGAAATTCTCACAGCTTACAAGATGTCTTACACTAAGGTCAACCACGGCGCCAGCTACCCGGCCATCTCTGCATCTAATCCCGCCAACTCCGCTGCGGGTAAAGTCGTACTCATCACCAGAGCTGGATCAGGCATCGGACAGGCGGCGGCTTCCTCCTTTGCCACCGCCGGTGCCAAGGCCCTGATTCTCATCGGCCGTCGCACGGAACCCCTGACGAAGACAGCCGCAACCATCTCTCAAAAGGGCCCTGACGTGCAACTTCGCCTTCACGGAGCCGACATCAGCGATGCCAAGGCCATGAAGTCTGTCATGGCTGAGACTGTGTCTACCTTTGGACAAATTGACATCGTCATCCACGCAGCTGGTGTGCTCCCGGCTCTCGGCCCAATCTCGACAATGCCTGTCAAAGAACTTTGGAAAGCGCTGGAAGTCAACATCAAGGGTACTTTGAACGTAGCGCAGTCTCTCTTGGCCACTAGTATCTCCGGAAAGAGGACCGGTCCGAAGCCTGTTTTAGTCAGTCTCAACACCGCGGGCATGCTCATGCCTCCTGTCCCTGGAATGGGTGGTTACGTCGTCAGCAAGGCCGTCCTGCCGAAACTGATGGAGTATCTGGCTGCGGAGAATTCCGATAAGCTGAGAACTGTGACGGTTCACCCTGGTGTCATCCGAACGCCGATGGCGAAGGAACTCGAGGAGGCGGGGCTGAAGTTTCCTTACGATGATGGTGTGCTTTCCTCTATACTTCCACCCCTTCCGTGATGCCTTAACAGAAGAGACGTTTTCAGCTATCTTTTCGCCACTGACTCGCCCTAGTCTCTCTCCCTGCGGACTTTCTGGTCTGGGTCACCAGCCCCGAGACATCTTTCCTGAATGGCCAGTTCGTGTTCGCGAACTGGGATGTGGAAGAGCTTAAGGCTCGTAGGGCCGAGATTGAAAATGGTACGGAACTGAGCTTGGTGCTCAGTGGACTTTCACGGCACAAGTGAAATTGCCTCAACTGACTATTTGAGGCGACGTCCTCGGTCAAAAGGATACTTCTTGATCTTGTCATAACGTGCGGTACATGCAAATAGCTTCAAACACTTGGAATGGTTTCGTGCGTAATTCATTCCATGAGTGCATTACCTTGCAAGTTCTTCTGTTGATAACATGCATTATCAGGGGTCAGGTGGATGTCACAATAGTACGAATGTATTAAGTATACAATCAAGCAGTTCCAAGCAAAGGTATGTCGCGGAGATGTAGGTGTTGATTCCAACCATGCTTCACCGAAATCTTGCTAGTTTGGGCCAGCTCACTCAAGTCCGGCTCGAAATATATGAATATAGCACGGTTATGAGATGCAGAGTTCATACGGATAACTTTGAAAGACATGTATGAAAAGAATTCTCATGACACTGTCAACCCTGTACCGCCTTGGAAAAGGAAGATACAGACTCCCATAGTAAAATTTCGTGGTAGTTCCTCAGAATAGGGCAACCTCTACATTCCGCCGTCTTGCTTGCTCATCAATATCATACGCATCGTCTTCTAAGTCCCAGGCTTCATCTAGCATCTCGGCAATGTTACGCGCATTCGCCGTCTTGCCGTATGGTTGGTATTTTCTTGTTACTCGCCGGAGTGATTCCATCCAGGTGGGCTGACGAAGCAAGACACCCACTTCCAGCCGTGCAGCTACGTAGGGATAGAGCAGTGCATTTGTTGTTAGAAGCTCTGAAAATTCGGGCCGGCTGGTCGCGTCGCAGAGCGCGTCAATGGAAGCGACCAAGCGGCCTAATAGTACTTCGGCGGAAGGAGCGGCAGGGCACGATATTGATGAAGCTGCCGTGATGCCTGTATTTGCTCGGTTGCGTAGGCGTCGACCAGTCAGAATACCTGCTAAACGGTATGCCTCCCATAGATGAATCTGCGGTATCTCTCCCGGTTCTCCAAACCATTGCAAGAAATCTGTGTCAGAGTCCTCGCCCTGAATATTCGCAAAAATGTCGAGCAAGGATCTTGGGAGGCTTGAGACAGATTGAATGCCCCCTCTCTTCATACCTATTGAACCCTGTGCAAGCCGCAATCTTCTCCAGATCCCCAATGACAAGGTTGAGCGACCGCGAACGAAGGTCGGCATATCCATGAGACCCATTAGCTCTAACGCAAACCGTGCTTCAGGTTCAGATAGGACGGGTGAGTTGTGGAGGTCACTGTTGAGACCATAGACTGTTGTCATGAGCTCGAGGTGGATGGACCAAGGAGTACTCTGAAATAGCTGTGTTCATTAAGAATTAGTACTGAAAACTTATAGAAAAGGCCCTCTACGGCGGGAATCACTGCAAATCAGGCTCAGGAGATGAGACATAACATATTGCGTGCATCACGGCAAGGCACGTGAGTGTCATATTGACGGCTTGCAAGATGACTCACATTCAGGGTGCAGATAAAAAGCCCAGCGTACATTGCGCCCAGATCAACGCTCCCATGGAATGACTCCAACTGATTGCGGAAGAGCGAGAGGCCTCGAAGGTAGTACTCTTCGAAAAGCTGCGAAGGATCATCTGGATGCGAAATGTAGAGGTGTGTGGCCAGCAAAATAGCACAGAGCGCTTCAGATCTCTCTGCTAGCTGGCGAAGCTTCGATCTGAACAAGCCATCCCGACGACTTGAATGAAGCATAAAGACGGTGGTTTCATTGACTAAAGTAGGATAAGATACTCTGTCAGTGGCCAGCATAGCGTATGAAGTTCAAGGTTTGAGGCATGGAGCATTCAATTCTGGCACGCCACCAAACCCGGGAGAAAATTCCACAGGTATGATAAGCCACGCCATGATCATTTGACTCACATTCTTCCAAAAGACGCCTGTCCTGCTCTGTGTGACCCGGCCAGGTTGTCTCGAGTGGCGCCGCGCCTAAACCAGCCGCGGCTGTGAGTACTGTGGATGGAACTGCAATAGCACTTGAATCGAGCTGTTTTAAAGTCCCAGACGAGCCTTCTACTGCAAGGCCGTCACTTTCTCTTGTTTTCTCATCAAGCCTGGATTTCTTCTTGCGCTTGGCGGGTGGAGGCGCTTCGATCTCGACAGGCACAAGCGCTCCGGCAAAGCGCCCCCTCGAGGCGATACCTGAGCCCCATCGAAGGACGGTCTGGTATCCTTCGCATTCAATCCCTTGGCCGATACATTGTAAACATTCGGGTCGGCCCTCGTCACATTTGCGGTGGCGGCGTTTGCAGTTCAAACAGCCGCTCCGCGTTCTCGACATGGCCGATGCCGTTGAGTTGCCATCGATGTTTTCTCGATTCTGAGTTGCTTCGCCATGTACTTTCGGTTTACCGGAAGGCTCAGCTAAGTCGAAGCAGTTCGCGATCTTGGAATGACTTCAGTGCATGTATGAATGGTGATACTCCTGTTCGATACTCTTCCCGCCTCGGATTTCGGTGTATGAAGAGATAAAAATACTTCCACTACCGAAACTTAACGTACGTTGGCTGGTAGTCAACCCACTCCAGTGGCTATGCTTACTCAGTGAGGCCTGTTCATCCCGTCGGCTGTGGCACGGTCGTCCGCCGAATTCGGGCATTATTGACGCCCGATTAGCGCTCGCCGCAGCAGCCCTAAATGCAAGCCTGGCCACCAGGGATCTTTCGGGAGTTGTTCCGGTTCTGAAAAGGGGGCTGGGAGGAGACACCACGCCTCATCAACGAGGTCTCACCGTCTCGGCCGCACAGAAGCGCTAATCGAGAATGTTGAAAAAGTCTTTGCATAAGCTTGTTCGATCGTGCTAGGACTGCAGAGAATACGTTTGCAACTTGCAACCACTCAATACCCGTAATCCCTGGTCACACTATTGCGATTGTTTACCCCTAGATCCCGTAACAAAGCAATACCAAGTATCCTCTTGCCGTTGGCGTCAACACCAGATGCCAGAATTTCGACGATTTCGTTTTCCAGCAAAGTAACCTCGCACAGCTTTGAGAGGAGGTAAATGAGAGTTTTTGGTGTCAAAAGAGAGTTTAAACGGTAGATTCTAAAATAGCCCGAGAAAGTCAAAGGCAAAACGAGTCAACAAACTTGCCAACACCCCAGGCTACGTCACCCAAGGATGAACAGGAGGACTGGATATAAAGAGATTAAGCCACGATGCACCTTCAAACTCTTGACAATCAATATGCCGAGTCTACGCATACTCAGACACTGCATCAACTCGTCTTGGTAATTGGGTTGCTGCAATCTCAATTGTTTTTCAGCCATACTCTCTTGGGAGAGAACCCGCGGTGAAAATGTTGCACTGGCTTAACGACGGTTGAAGTATTTTGCATCCATTTTGTCTATCCTATTTTATATGTAACCATCATCAAACAAGTAGCTTCTGTATCTGTCTATCCAATTGTTTCCGGTGTGCCTCCCCTACAGGGCTCGGCACGTCCGCCAAAATGTTCTTAATTCTTTCCATCAAAAAGCCCCTGGGATTACACTCGCTGTGATCAACGCCGCCCTTATCCGACGGCCGCCCAATGTCGTGGATCACTAGGTTCATCAGTGTCGAGTATAGTGTCAATACGCTCTCGTCAATGTCGTCAGCCTCTGGAATCGGCCATAGACTTGCCCTCATGAGACAAAAGGTCATGCTGCCAAGTATCATGCTCTCGCACCGGTGCGGCCCCATGTATGACGCATGTCTGCACCACCGAGGCCCTTCATCTACGCTGACGAGCTTCTCTGCCAGAGTGCTGAAGACGTCCATGATGGACTGAATTGTCTGCGTCCTGATGGCAGCGATTCGTTCTATGGAATAGGTTTCAGTGAAGAGATTCTCATGACAACTTATAACCACAAGAGAAAGAAGGCAAATAGGGTTGCTACAGTTAAGGGGGAAAGGGACTCACCGATGACGTCCGGCGGCATACTCAAATCGCCAAGCCCGCTCTCGTCACCGAACAAATTCCCACTACTCTCCATTACCATTCGCCGTGCCGTCGACTCAAAGAGCTGCTTATGACCCAACTCCCACGAAATCCACAGTAATTTGGGCATCAAAAGCTCTCCCTCGGGTCCAGCGATGCTACTACTGGTCGTTTCTGGTGACTCTGCGATGCCCGAAACCCAAGTTTGGAGCCAAGGCGACAACACGGGAGTCGCGTCATAGTAGTGCGTCAGTACCGTCAACTCGTAAAGCTTAGCAATCGACAAGGCTCGCGGGATTCTCTGGAACTGGCTATGAGCGATACTCGCGAGAAGGTCGAAAGATTCGGGCCTGTCGTCGCGAAGGTGGACGATCCAATCTCTCGCCGGCGATGTCGTCGTTCCGTTCATTCCGGATGGTGAAAGGCCGATGAGGTCAGAGCTCGGTGCTGTCGGCTTAGACTCGGCAAAGTTGCCGTGTAGCATGCGGTCAAAGACGGGGGAGATGCGTGCCATTGTCCGGGAACAGACGCGGAAGCTCCGGGCAGGGGTGTTGTCGACTGCCGTTCCGACGACGAAGACAACGTCCCCCCTTTGATCCATTTCCGTGAGAGCGGGAACGCTGGGTTCCTGAATGGGAGACATGGTTTTGCGGACTGAGTTGTCGGGGGTGGAGAGAGAGAGATGATGAAAGAGTGGCTTCTCTGCTCGTTGACGAGTCATACTCTAGAGATACTGGACCGTTGGAAACAAACACCTCGTTCGACGTTATATCTTTTGAGGCTCCGAAGAAAACATGGCCTGGCTACTGGGACCACTTCTCGTATCTTCTCAGCCTTATTGCTATATAAAGCGCTCCGGTCCGTATGCATTGAACAGAAATTGATCTTGCCCCGTGGCGCAGGGCTCTGTCCAGAGCAATTTCGCCACTCTTGGCCAAGAGCTCAAGGCTAGAGGGGGCTCATCCATTCTTTATTCTGGTGGGCCCGATCGGACGGGTCAGTCAATCGGAGATGCCACCGGGTTTGTTCAAGGGGCTACTCGGAGGGCGCGGGCGCCGAGCTTTCGGCTGCGGCCCGGTGAATGCCAAGAACCGATCGCTTCTGCCCTGGAACCCGATTGAAACACGCGGATTTTGTCCATTTCTTAGACTCGCTGCTTGACACCATTGGATCCCCCCCCCCCAATCGTTGCACATGCGATTGCTCCGTACTCAGTGGGAAAAGCAAACGTTCCTGTCAAGAAGTCCGGAGGATGAGAAATCTGTCTATGGAGATAATAGTGCATCATCGTTTGCTCGTGGACGAATATTGTGAGCACAGCTCAAGTTGAAATGCAAGCCATGGAGAAGATTCGAAACTCAAATTCGCCCTTCAAGCTATGACTCCAAGATGTACCTTGATGCGGAGAGCCCATCTAGGTTCCTGCGAAAACTCTTGAAGCTATCCATGAGTCACTGGTATCTCCGCTATGTGTCTCGCTCAAATACTATGAACTGAACCAAAGATCTGAACATATTCAACACAATCACCAGGACCATTTTTAGAGTTCTCTCACAGTAGCACTGTCTCCTCCATCCATCAACATTCCGCCTGACGCTACGCTATGATGTCCTTTAGAATCAGCACTATCATCAGTGCTTGGAGGGAACGGGGCCTTGAAAGGAACGAGGACATCGAAGAAAATCAGGATCTATATGATGTGGGCAAGAAGATCGCTGGTAGAGAACCAGACGCAATGGAGCAAATGCGCATGCCATGCGTATCCAACTCAGGATCTGAAAATATCGACGGAGACACAAGAGATGAAGGCCTCGTGGACAGGGACTGGGAAACGATCACCAGTGATTCTGACACCGGCGACAAGGCCAATACCTGCAAAATTACCGGCCCAAACACCATCTACAGCACGAATCGAGTGGAATTTTTGATGCCAGGTCTACCCAGCGGAATTTACAGCTGGGAAGCCAAACTCATTGCCAACTTACATCATAGCCGAATGATTGCTTTACCGGATGAGATTTTGCTACCAATCATGCACGAGTCCAAGCTTAGCGACCTTTACATGCTGCGACAAGTCTCTTGGACTTTTTGGCGCTTAAATCAAGACCGCACGTTCAAAAAACTGCATTCCTCAAATAAATCAAGCTCACCGAGTGACTTGACGATGGACGAGTCCGTGGTGAGGGCTGCGAAGGAACAAGCATTCTGCCAGGCTTGCCTTACATCAAAGGAGTCGGCAGATTTCAGAAAGCGTCTGTCGAAGCTAGGGGACAGCCTTTTCTGCTCGTACTGCGCTAAGGACCACCCGAGACTTCAATTCTCAAGTCTGTGGCGGAATAACCTCGGCCATCAGCGTTTTTGCCGGCTCTCCGAGGGTTTCATTCAGCTCTGTGCTCATATCTCAGTACCACTTGCCATCCTGGAACAGGATTTACAGTTAGCCACAGTCGATTGGCTTCGTACAGGAGAAAGAATGTACCTTCACCACGTGAATGGTGTCTAGAGGAGTGCTCAGTTTGGAGACAGATCGGCGAGGGGCTTTCGATACAGAAAATGAAGCCGCCTTCAATTCATGGAGAGATCAGGACATTCAATACGAATCTCGGAGCAAAGTCCTTGGTAAGGTTTTATACCGTATCTTGGAAGTTTCCCGTGACGCCATTATCAGATGACCAACCATTTGACGGCATGATTCTAGAAACCAACTTCGAGGAGCTTCAAGGAAGGTTTGGACGCTTGCTTTGTCCTCACAGGATTTTTGAGCAGCTGATGGAGCCCCTCGATCCTGATTCTGAACTCATCATCTTGGAAGGCCACCCAAATCCACCGCTATGCGTAAGGAGTGCCTTTTCGTGGGTATTTAGCCGATCCTAGTCGCGAGATTTTAGGATTGCCGCAAGTGATCCTCGGTACGCAGAGTCATCGTCGTCGCATAACGGTCGCGTTCACTCAACAATATGCCCTATTTGTGATGCACGCTTTGAATGGAGTTTAGAGAGAGGCTCTATCTATTTGACGAGAAGCGGCGGATAGTTCACTCCCAAAGTCACCGATATTTACGATTGGAAGGATGAGCCCTACGGTTTCAATGGTATACTCGCTTCGGAACCAACTTCCTACGGGGCAGACAGTGGCAGTGAGGCTGAAACCTTACTTCGGTGCGATGAGAAAGCCTGTAGGAACGGGAGCAACATGGACTACTATTTACGACGACTTTTTTATCATGCAAAGTAACGCCTTGTTCACTAACTATTAGCTTAGAAAGAGGATGTTAGTTTTTGAACCTTCCTCATTCCAACGCCGATAAAACTGCAGCTGGTCGCAACATTGCTCATTCCCGGAGTTTTCTCCCTACAAACAGCGTATGGAATCCCCATCAGTACCACCGACACCTTTTGCACACCTGTGCAGTCGTCAATGAATATACCATCAAAGAAAGAAACCAAGAAAACCTACGAAGTCAATAACACATCTTGTTGTTTGACATCTATCTAACGATCGTTGGAATAGATCGGTCACTCCATGGACCACGTACGGCTAAGAAGGTCTGAGCTGGCAAGGCGATACAACTAAACGGAGCGAATACTGTTTTCCAGGAAACACGCCTTTCGAGGTCATGATACAGCGCTTTCAGCAATTGGAAACCGAAGACACGCAGACAGATTGGAAGGAGTATATGAAAACGCTCGCCCCTGTCATTTCGATCCTGTTCAACCTCGTCAAAAATGATTGGGTACATAGAAAGTTCAAAAATTACGTCAACAAGATACGAAAGTCCTCAAAAAACAGGGGGAAAAGCGGGAAAGAGAAGCTGGACGGCATGCAAAGTCACGTAAATCAATTGACCCGACAAATCACGAAGCTGCAGCGAGGCAAGCTGGACACAAAAGCCTTCCGAAAAGCCCTGTAGGAAAGCAAAAGGATTCTTGCAACAAGGCCAAAGCTTTCCCAGGTGAGGTCGTTTAAGAAACCGATCAAAGACGGCTCGAGGTATTTGAAGTAGTCCACCAAAGAAGACCTCAGCTCTTTGGACAAAAGAATGAGGGATACGGTCAAGCGATCTGCGCGACAGATAAGACGCATAGAGGCAGAAATGGCAAGTCTAAGCAAACCGCAAGGTAGTCTCAACGTGACTGAGAGAATGTGTCGTTCTCGTGCAAGCGAGAGCTATTAGATAGAATCAGGATTAGTGATAGCGTAGTGGTTGCAACTAGATTTCAGAAGCAAATTCACTTCCGCAGATTTTTTTCCAGACCTTTCTCTAGGAGAGTTTGGGAATGAATAGATAGGTAAATGAACCTAGAGACTAATGTACTGTCGCCTTATAGCACTCAATAGGATAGTATGTATCTAAGTACTGTTATGAAATGGGGCACCTTAAGCTCTGTCAACCTCTCTCCTCGCTAGGCTCGACTTTGATAAAACGCCTGCCTTCAGTGACCACCATAACGCAATTTCTTTTGCTGGCGTACGATCACAGTGCCGAAATGTCCTACCTCCAGCTTTCTGTGGTACAAATTCCAATGTGTTTCCCTTCGAGAACAGTCCGATGTGTTCCACGCATCTATCGATCGACTTCTCGAGACACTTGGTGTACAACGTATCCTCGTCATCTTCGGGGTCAACGTCCGGAAACACCCTATCAAGCACATCCCCCCCATCAAGCTCTGGCGTTAGCTGATGCAGCGTCGACGCAACCTTGTCCACAGCCCCATCATACAATGCAAAGAAGATGCAGTGGTTGCCCTTGTACTCCGGCAAGTGGCCAGTGTGCATATTAATCATCAGTCCCGCCCGTGCCATCAACTTCTTGCCAATGTACTTGGTCCCCGAGACAATAGTTAGTTCCGGCTGCCACTTTTCGGTAGCATCCCACACTGCGCGGCAGTTGACGCTATCAACCACCAGATCTGGCGCGGGCGAAATGTGGCCCTGTGGCACAAGTTTATCAAAGTGCGCTGCGCGTCGGACATCGTGGCCGAAGAATCCGCGTCTGAGGCCGTGGTATTGTTGCCAGCAAGCGTCGACAACACGGCCCTTGTTCATCAGCTGCCGTACTTGACCGTCGCTAGTCTCCTGAACGCAACGGTAGCCAGGGAAGGCCTGGTCTAGGCGGTATCGCAGGTAGCGGTGCTGAGGACCGTCGGAGCAAACGAGGAGTAGCCTCAGTGGGGTCTTCTGAGCCTCGATACTTGCCAAGGCCGGGCTCGGGCTCGGGGTACGAGACCTGTAGTTGACTGCAGGAGGTAATTTGCCACGATCTGGGTGGAAGAGAATATGGACAGGATCATGTTCGCCCAAGAACGACCGTAGAATTGCGCGGGCCATTCCGGGCGCCTGAGCGAAGCCACCCGTGTTGTTGCCACCAGTGATGATGAGCTGGCCGCCGCCTGCTGTGGGGATTCTCTCGAATACTCCGAGACCAGTAGGTGTGAACGGGCGAACACAGTACTTGCGATGTCCCCCAGGGTACATGGCGTTGGGGCCACGGCTTTTGGCGGCTGCGTACCCTTCCGGGAAATATATGCGCGCAACCTCTTCCAGCTCGTCGTAGAGAGCCTTCATCTCAGGAGAGTCTGGGTCTGGACGGCCTAGGCCGACGTAGCCGTATGCGCCGCCAAAGACAAGGATGTCTTCCCCAGTCTCGCGGTCTTTTGCCACAGTGATGTTAATATCCTCGACTTTGTGTCCTCGTCTATGTATCTTCATTGAGTTGCGCATCTTTGGGTCCAAGTTGGGAATCTGCAGCCAGATACCTAGGACTCCCTGGATGAGGTTCTCGCTGGCCGTTCCCTGAAGCAGTGCGCTGCCGTTTGTACCAGGACTCAAGATGAAGTGATCGGCCTTCAAGTCGCCTTTCTTTGACTTCAAAACAGTCACCTCGCCTGCGGAGTTGCGCTGGATGGCCTGGACCTCGCAGTCCCAAAGGAAGTCGGCGCCGAGGTTGGAGATGGAATCGATCACCTTGCCCACGAATAAGTGAATGTTCACCGTAAAACCGTCCACGATGATGCCTCCAGCAAGATGGTCTGCTGCTGCAGCCGGGCGAAATACAGGATATTTTTCCAAGAATTCCTCGGTAGATGGTGCCTCCAGAAGAGCCCCCAGGTTTTGGTTGAGCCCAACCGATGCGTCCAAGGCCACATCCTCAACGTACAGGCGTATGATGTCTTCGTGAAGCCCGACATCCTCGAAGAGCTGAGGTTCGTTCTTCATAAGCTCCCTCCAGAGCTTTCCGGATTCAACGTTGACCTCATGGATATTCTTCTTGAAGTGCGCCGCCATCCAGCCTGGAACACGCTCGAAAGCACTGACCCAGTCATTCTCCGCGGCGTTGAGATCCTCGGGAGACTTGACACTCCAGCCACCGCCACGGACAGTCTTGCGGAAGATTGACTGCATGTCTTGGTAAATCTCGCTGTCCTGCTCGTTGTAGTTGTCTGCCTCGGTGTTTGTGAACATGCGGGCATTGTGGCCACCGCTTGTGACTCCCAGCGCAGTCCAGTCTTTGAGCTGGCAAGCCCGGGGGTCGGGGCCTTGGTCCACGACGCGAACTTTGTAACCGCGTCTGGCAAGGAGATGGGCGGCGATCAGGTTCATGATGCCAGCGCCGATGAGCAAAACGTTTGTTTCACTCGGTGAAGACCCCTTGGCCTCGATGTTGGCGTTGACGCGCTGAGTATCAGCTTCGGCACGGGCTTTGGCGTAAAGCATCTCTGCTTCACGAAAGAGAGTTTCTTCCCACTCCTTCTTTGAGAGACCATCCACGTACTCAGGGAAGGCGGCGATATCGAATAAGCGACCCCTAGCGCTCTGTCTCAAACGAGAGATAGCCTCAGCATCTCTCACGAGCATGGACTTGGGGCTGTGGCTAGACTGCTCCAACCACTGGTCCATCAGATCACCGGTGACTTCTGAGCCGTCGCAGATCCATACATCTACCTCATCGTGGTTGGATAAAGGGGTGGAAAGATCAGACTGGGGATCGTGTAAGCTGATGTAAGTGGACTTTTTCGTTCCGCCACGAATGGAAAGAATGGTTGTGGTAACAAGAAACCGCATGATGAGTTTTGCCTGCTATCCAAACGAAAGCAGCTCGAAGAAAAGGATCAAAGAAAGGAAAGAGAAGAGTTCGTGCTCGACTGATTTGCTTGATTCAGCAGACGCAAGCACTGGCATCCGGACCTACCTTCTTATAGAAAGTCCATGGAGCAACTACGGCAGACAGCCTTGCCACAGAAAATCGCCGAAGGAACTCTTCGAAACTTCTAATGCTTTCCGGATCACGACTTGGGTGCCTAGAATGAGAGGAGGCTGTAGATGCGCGACGTGGGGGACAGCCGTCTCGTCAAATTTTCACATCATCCTTGAGATGACTGCAGCACCGCACTCAAAGCACATGCAGAAGTACGGTGCCACCCTGAACACGCGGCAAGAAATTCCAAGACATGTCGTGAGATGCTCTTGTGGCCCCTTCCAGATGTTGTGTCCTGCGGCGGATTTCCACCGACTTGCCGCTCGGCCTGACGAATCAAGTCTCGGGACTTGAGTGATTGCAATTCGACCATTATCATTTCTGGCCGAGTCAAATTTAGCTAGAAGAGTCCAACCGTTCGTTCCGAACTAACCTATTCACCCTTCATCAGCAGCTCGTGAGGCCGGACCGCTTTTGATGACGAATCTGATGAAAACATGCTTGACATTGAAGTCCTACTGAGGCTTGGTTCGCGTGTAACATTACTATGCCTTACCTACAGTAACTGTGAATCGTTCGGGGCAATTCGATGCTGTGTCGGAGTCTAGCCTCTGGGACTAGACATAAACCCTCCGAACAACTGACAAGGGCTCTCGTGTGAACTGCTTGTTGCTGCCTAGACGACGTCGAAGTAGGTATAGTGGATCAAGGGGATACAAAATATTCCCCTCATTTGCAATTCGCCTTGCTGCGGCAGAATTTTCAAGACATCCGTAGGGCAGAAATAGGGCCAGACATCCACGGCGAAGACGCATAGTTCTCAAGGTTGGCAAACCAAATATCCAATTGCCTCTGAGCGAGGTTCGAGAAAACAAATGCTTCCCTGGCGGGGCTCGGGGAATCCAGCCACAAGAGGGAGGTGGGAAATCAACACGCCCGCCCGGAAGATGGGGCCGGTGTTCATTGAATCGACTTAAGGGTCTTTTGCCAAGCAGTACAGTGGGGCGTTTGCGAACAAGGGTTCAGCTTACTGCCTATGCAAGCGAACTTCGACAGAAACTCAGAAAGATGCAGACATAGAGGTTGAGGATGGTTCAACAAGGTTGACGAAGTGTTCTACTTTAGGTATGTCATTACGTACAAGATTATGGTTGCTTACTGGCTTCGCCGCTTCACGTGGGTGGTTCCATTGGCCGCGTTGCGAATTGATGCCGCATACGGCATTCCGGATGGATCTCGTGAGATTGCGCCTTACATCTGACAGGATACGCGACCTAGGCTGGCTGGCGAGCTAATGCACACCGTTAGTGACGTGACGGGCCGACCCCTACTTCGCAGACCTTGCGGTTCCGCGGGGGCTGGGCTCCTCGTTTTGCTTACTTTTTGTGTAAAATCCTGATGTCCTACCTTCTAAGGGCGACTTTCGTTGACTCTCTCTCATTGGTGAGGTTGGCCTGGGGGGAGGTCATCGTCAGAGTCAGGGGCCTTTGCTTTCCACCGCGTCGAGGTGGAAAATTTGCCATTTCTGCTTTAAGCTACTCTTGTACCAAGCAAAGTCATTTTTTCCCGCTATTGGAAGTGCCTTTGAGAAGTATCTCTTCATCCCCTCTTTTGTCGGTCTACAACTTTCATCAAAGAACTCGAATCAAGGCCACAGATCGCCAGCTCCTTGCTGAATATCTGGCTCAGACGAGGATTCCCACAATTGCTTGTTGCCCAGCAGCATGGCGAACCCACAAGAAGTTGACCCGCCTGACTGGAGGGGACCAGATGATCCAGACTGCCCATACAACTGGCCATTGTGGAAGCGCATCTACAGCACCAGCATTCCGGCCTTTCTTTGCGTTAACGTGTAAGATCAATACACTCTGAAGACAACTTGAAGGCTCAGACTAAATGTTACTCGCCCAGGTCATTCGCCTCTTCCGTCTACACCTCTGGCGCCAACGATGTATCGGAAAAATTTGGAGTCTCACATACTGCGTCTCTCCTCGGCCTTTCCCTCTTTCTCTGGGCTCTGGGCCTCGGTGCCATCATCGCCGCACCCGTGAGTGAATACTATGGCCGCAGGATCGTCTACCTCAGCACTGTTCCAGTCTTTGGACTTTTTATCCTGGGCTCAGGACTAGCACAGAACTTTACGACACTGATTGTCTGCCGCTTCTTCGCCGGCTTCTTTGGGAGCGCCGTCGTTTCCGTCGGTGGCGGGACCAACGCTGATCTATGGCCACCTGCGCTGGCGGGTTTCGTCTATCCTTTCTACTTCGTGTCTCCGTTCCTCGGACCGGCTTTTGGTAAGAACCTCTCCAGCTGCTCTCTTTCAACATCGTTTTAACGGTCAATTCTAGGACCTGTCATTGGGGGCTTTCTGGCTGAGGAGAAGGATTTCCGGTGGCTTGAATGGGTCGTCCTCTTCATGGTAGCCTTCAACTACATCTATGCCCTTCCACAATTCGAAACATACAAGAAGACTATCCTCCAGAGACGTATGCGTGCTGAGAAGCAGTTTGATGCGCCTCAAGCACATTCGCCCAAGGTTGCCCTCCCCTCGAGTGCGATCATCCAACGTATCGTCCTCAAACCTTTCAAAATGCTCTTTGTCGAGTCAATCGTGCTCTTCATGACCATTTATATGGCATTCAACTTCGCTGTATTTTACAGCTTTTTTGCAGCCTTTCCGTACGTTTTCGGGGGCCATTACGGCTTCACCCCAGGCCAGCAGGGTCTCACTTTCATCTCTATCGCGCTGGGCTGCGTCATCGGCTTTGTAGCTGTGGTCTACATTGACCGCAAGACCTACCCAGCGCTGGAGGCAAAATATGGAGTTGGTGCGGTGCCCCCGGAGTATCGCCTCTATGGCGCCATGGTTGGCTGCGCACTCAATCCGGCCAGCCTGTTCTGGTTCGGATGGACAGCCGACAAGGGTGTCTACTGGCTTAGTCCAGTCATTGCGTCTGTGCCGTTTGCCGTGGGCAACATTATGGTTTATAGCAGCGGCGCGCTGTACATTATGAACTCCTATGGTTCGTTGCATGGCGCGAGCGCTCTCAGTGCCAACAGCCTTCTGAGATATGCGGGTGGAGGTGCGTTCCCGCTGTTCACGGTGCAAATGTTCTCCTCCATGGGGATCGGGTGGGCAAGCAGTCTGCTAGGCTTTGTCTCGGTAGTTCTGGTGCCAGTACCATGGGTACTATACAAGTACGGGAGCAGAATCAGGGCTCATAGTCAGTATATCACGATTAAAGAGCCGGCATCTGGGAACCAGACTTCGTTAGAGGAGATGCCGAGGGAGGATACTGAGAGTTGATGAACCGGCGGCAATTGAGCGAAGAAAATTTGGGAAATGTTAGGCTCACACAGAAGTGACACTGAGACGACAATGGAATCTTTGGCTATCACGATGCATGATTCAAAAATTAGAATTACAGGGGCAGCCTTCAGTCAGCAACGGCCACATAGGTAGCTCCTGGGAAGACATTCGCGGGACCCGTATTCGTTAACCAATCCCTGTGGAAAAGTGCAATAAATTCGCGCCCCCACGATCGAGGCGATGTAATGTTGCCTATTGTGTCAGCCGGAGGCAGAATCATGGAGGCAGCACAGCCCTACAGCTGTCGACTCAAGTCACCTTGGGGTTCCAGGTATCTCACCTCAAAGAGTAGATTTATAAGTCAGTGGCGCTTCTCACATGAGTCGTCCCTTTTGAAAGACCATATCACACTTCTTGCCGCTTCAGCTTCCTCGTAAAGACGAGTAATTCTTCTCAAACCAGCGTAAGCACTGCATACAATGGGCTCCATCCCGACCCCTGACCCGATCCGACTGGCTATCCTCGTTACCGATGAGCCGCTGCCTAGCGTATCAGCCAAGCTAGGCCGCTTCGACACCATCTTCACGACACTTCTCAGAAATGCATGCGAAAGCCTTGATCCACCGCAGACGCTGGAGTCTCAGCTGGCGCTGACTTCGTACAACGTGGTGGCTAAAGACGGTGTGGATGCCACCTACCCCGAGCCTGAGGATGTCGATGCCGTGCTCATCACGGGATCTCGGCATTCGGCTTACGCGCATGATGGATGGATTTTGAGGCTGACGGCTTTCACTCGGAGGCTTCTGGATGAGGGCCGTGTTCGCGTCATTGGTGTTTGCTTCGGGCACCAGATCGTTGCTCGCGCCCTTGGTGCACAGGTTGCTCGGTCCCCCGGAGGATGGGAGCTTTCAGTCACAAAGCTGAAGTTGACAGAGGAGGGTCAAGATGTGTTTGGATCTGAGAGCCTGGTACGTCTGTTCCCTCGCCCAAACAAGGACGTGAATGAGATCCTTTGTGTCCCCAGATCCTAAGACCCTAAGATATGCTGATTATGAGTTATTGCAATCATAAGAGCATCTATCAAACGCATCGCGATGCAGTTATCGACCTGCCTTCTGGCGTCAAATTGTTAGCCCACACCAAGCAATGCCCAATTCAAGCCATGTATGTCCCTCGGAGGTTCATCACGGTGCAGGGCCACCCTGAGTTCTCGCCTTTCATGATGAGCGAAATGCTGCAGATCCGCCACCAGGCCGGCATTATTCCCGAAGAACCTTTCAAGGACGCAATGACAAGGTATTCGGACGCTCATGATGGTGTTCTCATTGGGCGAAGCTTTCTACACTTCTTAAGGGAGTGATGGAGAGTCTTCTGCATAAGTCAGTCGTATGTTGATCATGCAGCATCCACGTCTGCAGAGACCATTTGGTATGGGGGTCTGGCGAGACGGGCATGCTAGGTCGACGCAAGATACAGGCTCATTGCGGACATTCATAGAAATAATGAATTATCACCATAGTCGTTCATCCTACAGGCGAATGAAAAGCTCCATCAACTGTATCGTGACTTTCTACACTCCTCATATCACATGCCCGTTTCCTACTAATGACGAAACTCCTCCGTTGGCCATTCACAGGCACTGAGAATACCATTGATTCGCGACAGTGCAAGTGTATGGCGACACGCACTGCGTAGGACCGGTCCACCCTTGTCCCCCACACTGTCCGTACTGCGGAGCCAGGTTCGTCGCCGTAGCCACGGGCGCGGAGCTAGTCGAAGTTCGGACCGTGGTAGAAGTCGTCAAAGTAGAAGACCTAGCAGAGGAAGTCGAAGAGGTCACAGCAGCACTGGAGCTCGAAGCCCTGCTAGTCGATGTCGGCGCGACAGTGGACGCGCCACCGCCAGAGGAAGCAATGGCGCCAGAGGCATAAAAGGCACCGCGTCCGTTGGTGCCGACGTATACCAGGTTCTCCTCATTGCCGGAACCGGCGAGCTTGGCGCTGTCAATGGCGCCGAAGCTCTGAGTGCCCTGGAGGTCCGTCCAAGAGGCGCCGAGGTCAGCGCTGCCGTAGAGCCTGCGGCCTGCAGAGCCGGTGCCGAAAGCGTATAGGTTCCAGTTGGTGCCGGAGCCCTTGCCGAGGGCGATCTTATTCGTGTTGGTGAGGGCGGTGGAGACCTGAGTGAAGGTGACGCCATAGTCGGTGCTGTGGAAGATTCCGACGTCGGTTGAGACCCAGACGTCGCCGGCCTTGGCCGGGTGGGCTTCGACGTGGCGGATTCCGGTGGCGGACCCGAAGGAGCCGGAGGTGGCGAACGTTGCGCCGAGGTTGGTGGAGCGATAGAAGCTGGAGCCGGAGGCGCCGTAGAAGACGGTGTTGTTCTTCTTATCGCTGGCGATGATGGCGCCGGCTGGTATACTGGAGACGACGGCGAGAGAGCCTTGGTTCTGGCTTCTCTGAACCCCGAGAGTTGCAGTCGACCAGAGGATTGTGTCGGCGTCGGCGGAGTACGCGACTGTGCCGCCGTACTGCGTCGTGCCGGCGGCATAGTTGATGTTCCAAGTGGCTCCGCCGTCGGAACTGACAGCCAGTTGCTGAGTGCCTGCGGTGTTGCCGACGCGAACGACGTTGGCGACCTTGTTACCAGCATAGTCAACGCCAACAGAGCTGGCCCACATGGGGGTGGTCCAAGTGGTCTGTGGCGATGTATCGAGGTTGCTCTTGGCCTTAAACGTGAATCCGTTGTTGTCGTAGTTGGCAACCAAGAGCTCTGAGCCTCCGGGAGCACTGGCGAGTTCCTGGATAGACATCTCCTCGATGCCATCTGCGAGGGACTGGATATTTACCTTGGCGCCTGTATCCCAGTTGGTAAGGTCATGGCCACCGAAAATGGTCAGACCAGTTCCCCAAAGCCAGTGGTTTGAGTCGAGGGGATCGATCTCAAGGGACTCAATCATCCAGCCCAAATCTTTGGTGTCGACGTCAAGGAAATTGGTCTTGATCCAAGGTGCCTATTCTCAGTCAGTACAAAAGCTCTCAACGATAAATGTATCTTGAAGATTCCAATCAAGGGTGTTCTTGCCTACCTTGGGGCTGGTTTGAGCATAACTGATGTTTTGGTTGCCGTCGGTACCCCATGTCCAGATCTTCTTCCATGTCGTCCCAGAATCAGTTGATCTAAACAGTTGTGCATCCGGCCACCAGCTATTGAGAGTGGCAACAACCAGGGTTCCGGGCTTTTGCATGTCAAGTCCCAGTCCACCTTGACAAAGTCAGTAAATAAGCTCATAGAGTGCCGCTAATCATGTTCGGATTCGACGACTCGGATCCAAAAGAAATAGAAGCTTACCGAAGCCAAAGTACAGGTCGGAGCCTGGCGCGACAGGAGTAATGTCCTTCCAAGTGTTGGCAGTGAGGTCGTACCTCCACACGGAGCCTGAAGTGCCGTCATAGGGACCAGTACCGTCCGAGTACGTGAGATAGAGAGCCTGTTTCACCTCGTCACTTGGCTGTCAGTCGTTCAGGATATGTTCCATCACTTACCTTCTCTGTGGGCTGAATTCTTCCCTTGTGGGGGAAGTATCTGCCAGGCTGGCCAGCGACTGCCGACCAGGTCGAGCCGGCGTCATTAGAGACATAAACGGACGAAGTGGTGTTCTCGGCAACGCCAACAAAGATCCTAGAAGTAGCTCCGCTGAGAGCGGCCGAAGTTGAGTCGAAAGTCACAAAGTTGATACCCTGTATGTCGCCGCTGTACTCGTTGTCGGCAGGTCCTGCACGGAAAGTGCCAACTGCGGTGAAGGAGGAGACCTTGGAGAAGCTCGTACCTGAGAAGTAGTCGAACGTCAATCATATGCACAGCGACCTAGGGGTTTTTGTATAGACTTGCCTCCGTTGGTACTCTTGTAAAGTCCATTACCACTTCGGGCACCAAAGTAGATGATGTTAGAGTTTTTGGGGTCTACTGCAAGACGCTCGCCGTTTCCTCTTCCCGGCATGTTACCTCCGACCTTGATTAATGTCAGTGCTTGCGATTGATGAAAGTGGAAGTAACTCTCACCTTGAAAGGCAGGTCAGTAAAGGACCAGGTCGCGCCCTTGTCGGAGCTGCGCGCAATTTGTCCATTATTTGGGTCCCTAGAATCTACGTCAATACAACCAAGCACTTGAGAACGATGCAATATACATACCAGCTATTGGTGTACATGCCGACGGCAATGAAGACTTTGTTCGGGTCCTGGGGATCCAACGCAAGAGCATCAACACCCCACCGGTTCCAGTGGGAATCGTCAGCAAAGCCGTTGGCGTCGGTCACCGGAGTCCACGAGTCATCGGCATTGAGGCGATACAGCCCGCCAATGTCGGTCCTAGCGTACGCTACGCCCTTTGTCGTGGGATGAAAGACGATTGAGGGAACAAATCCGCCGCCACCGCCAATCTTGACATTCTTCCAGGTGAAGGCGGCCTGGATCGGAGCCGCGAGGGCAGCCAGGAGGAGGTTGGCGTACTTCATCCTGGGCCAAAGACTTCTTGTCTTTGAAAGACGAGTTGTCGAGGGGTGAGAGGTGAGCAGTGAAGTTACCTCTGGATCTATACCGGGAGGTGATATAGGATCTTGTGGGGATGGAACAGAAAAGGAGGAAGATCGACGAGGGCGTGGTTCACGCCAGGGCTATAAATGAATGTGTGCCTTTCTCTTTGACAATGACACGGCGTCGGATCGCCGGCATCCCAAAGGAATATATCGGGCTACTAGACACACTGCCAACAAGAGTGACTTCGGGAAGTCGAGCAAGCCCATCGTGCCTCCGCGCCGGAAATGAGACGAGTCAAGACCACAGCCCCCCAAATTCCATCAATCACCTCTCCAAAGCCATGGCCAAGTCAAATGAGGTTGCGGCCTCAGCTTCCCGACAAACCGGCCGCACTACTCCCGTTTACTGTTGAAGGAAGGAAAGCTTCCGTTTGGAGGTCCATGGAAGAGGGGCCACTGAGAGCACATGGTACGCGAACTCATTTGTACACGCAGGTCCCAGGAACGACGTACATGGCCAAGCTTCTCCCCATCCTCTCGGCCCAAGATCGTGACTACCCAAAACGGAAATCGAGGCCTGTCATCCAGGTCATCACATGATGGTTACCACCCTCCCTCTGTGGGATGACCGCGGTCTGCAATTGCCGTCATGGCGTGATGCAAGGCAGACAGGTGATCTCTTGAGCTTCGTTCTTTAGACCCCCAGAAAGCCGTCAGGGACGCGTCCCGTCATTCCTGGGGAGTCGGCTCGCTCACGTTAGGCGCGGTAGATCGGCAAACTTCTTTGGCGATGGATTTCTGCAGACTGCAAGACGGACGGGCCCTGTCCCAAGATTCGGATCCCAGAGGATCTGCTTCCCCACGGGCGCATTGTGGAGAGCATGGGACCTGGCCAGAAGCGGGAAGCGGTAGATGGCTGAGTTGGGAAGAGATGAATTGGGAAGAACGACGAGGGTAGTTTGCCCAGACGGCGGGAATGGGGGCATTCGATTGGCGGAGCCCCGTCGGGAATCCGTGGTGGTGGGGTGGCATGGCTCGGTGTAACATTCATACCAAGTCTGGTACGGAGCGAGTGCAGTGACGAGAGTCAGTTTCTCCAAGAGAGAGTTGATCGATGCAACGGGGTCTCCAAGTCAATATTATTCTTCAAGAATCCCACCAGAAGCGGGGTACGAAAAATATTTGCTATATAAATTAGGGGGTATCGTGGAAGAAGCGTCGAGCATTAGTACCTAGATCGACAAGCAACTCAGTGTCTAAATGCTTTGCGCTATCTCTTCTTTCCTTCCATTATCTCATCTCTCATTTCTTCCCTTCCTCATTTCATTCAATAATCAAATGACCGGATGTACTATGTATGGAATCAAGGCCGAGACACCAGCGCGAGCATCCATTGTTACTTAGATACCAGAAGTGGTCGCACCGACGTTGACAACATTACCAGCCTCGTCGACGGCAACCTTTGTCTTCTTGGTTGACTCTTTCCTCGGGTTGGGAGCCTCGAAGATGGACTTGAGCTCTTCCAGTGTTTTTCCAGCGGTCTCGACGAAGAAGAAGTAGATGATTGCCATTTCAATGCACTAAAAGTCATCAGCAACCGCAACAGGCAATGTCAAAGAGTGTTGGTATGAACTTACAATCCAGGCAATGTACACAAGGTACAACTTCCACGCAATCTTCTCCATACCGACGGAGATACCATAGGTGTTGATCATGATAGCGACATTGAGGAACAGGAACGAAAGTCCAGACCCCTTAGCGCGGGTGCGGTTCTCGAGACACTCAACAGCGTACAGCGTCTGAAGCGGCGTGAAACCCCAGGCGAAGCAGATGCCAAAGACGTAGATGGAGACGATGACACCGTACGAGAGGTTCTTGTGGTTGGCTGACTCGGCGGTGAAGGCCGTGAGCATGATGTATGAGGCGAGCGAGCCGGCCAAGCCAGCCAGCATCATGAAGCGGCGACCGAGCTTGTCGAGGAGGGTCGCGCCCCAGATGGCGGCGATCATGGAGAAGATTGGGTTGATGGCGTTGAGGAGGAGTTGGGTGTTGTCGTCGGTGATGCCGGCCTGCTTGAACATCTCGGGCATGAAGTAGGATACGACGTTGTTTCCGCTGTGATGCAGGGTGTGGTCAGTTAAACGGCTAAAATAAGCGGTTTGCCTAGTAGAGGGGCGTCACTTACGACCACTGGCCGATGAACGCCATGGCAATGACCATGAAGAGTCTGTATCGGCGGGCCTTGGTGTTGAAGAGCTCCTTCATCTGCCACCAAGGGTTCTCGTCGGTGGTCGAGTGGTGATCCTCAATAATCTCGCGGTACTGGAGCTGCACGACGGGAGAGTTGACGTCGCCGTCGCCGTGGTACTTGGCCAGGATGGCGAGTGCCTCCTCTGCGCGGTCTTTTGAGATGAGCCATCGAGGACTTTCGGGAAAGAACATGATGAATATCATGACTATTCCAGGCATAGCGGCCTGGACGACGGTGGGGATTCGCCACGCCCAGCTTGTCTTGATGTGGTGGTTCGCTCCGTACTACCATGTTTAGTTAGGGGTGTTTGGCCGTCACGATACAAGTTGGGAATACTCACGGTAGTCCAACCGGCCAGAATGTTTCCAAGCCACCAAAAGTTGTTGTAAAGACCAGCCATGGTTCCACGAGCGGAAGGATGCGCCAGCTCGACGACGTAAGCAGGTCCAGCAGCAGAGGCGACTATGCAATGTTAAAGATCTGGGTTCGCATGATTGCTCGTGATGAGGACGACATACGAGAAGCTCCAAAGCCGAGGACAAATCGGCCTGCCACAAACTGCCCCAGGTGTTGGGCAGGCGCTTGGATAGCTGTGCCAATGAGAACAATGAAGCAGCCGATGAAGATGCACCATCTTCGACCCCAGCCATCAGCGATCATGCCGCAGAATGGGAAACTGCAAATTTGGCCGACTTGGTAGATCATGAAAACGATACCAGTTGTGGAACCGGCGCTCGAAAGTCCGAAGGTCTCTTGATAGGGCGGCATAGCGTTGATCGCTCCCATGAGGGACGAGTCTGAAGGACTAGCGTTAGCTGATGAACCCATATCCTGTTGACTTCGCGGTGTGTGAACTCACCGAAGCCGTTCATGGTTGACACCTGATGAAAGGCATATTCGTTAGCTCATCTCAGCCAATAGTGTGAGCTAGGAAAGTATTACAAGATAGCCGATGGCCATGATGCCGTACAACTTGATCATGTTGGGCGACCACCAATTGACTTGCTGCTCCGCCATGGCGGCAGTCAACGCGACGGAGGCGGCATTAATCTCCTTCACTTCGCCGACAGCGGCCTTTTCATCGTACGCGGGCGGCTCATTGTCGTGTTCGACCACCGCCTGGCCTTTGAATTCGTCTTCGAGTTTTGCCATTGTGGCTCCGAGATTGGGCAACTGAACCGCAGCGCGCTCGTTTTCTGCTGTTTTGTTCGGGAGTGGCAACTGGGGAGGAAGCAGACGCGCGCAAGAGAGATGCGCGGGATGGGCCGATTCTTTTAAAGAGCGAAGCGAAAACCTGGCCAAGGCATGGGATCAACAGACAGGGACGCTTGTCAACGCTGGCCCAACCAACGGGTCGGTATCCATCCTCGAACTACCGTTACATGAGTTTCCCCATCTTGCGGTGCTCCCACACACCGTAGACTCGGCCACCAGTCCCAGCTTTGGATATGGGGTTAACGTTGGTGGTGTTCCCCACATGGCGAGAGACAACCAGGCAATGGGCTGGTTTACACGGGGAAGACGGAGCCGCGGCACGTGGACGATATTCTAGCGGAGTCTTGCGGCGACTCGACGGGGCTCAAGAGAAAAAGGCTATGATATGATCCGTTCTTGCGCTCGTAAATCGTAACTAGCGATCCAACGGCTAATGCTGTAGCACTTGTCAAAGACGGCGCCAACTTTGAAAGACGGATCTCCTCCGCACAGCTTCGCCTCCTCATGGTTACCCCATCTCCCTTGGATTTCAACCCCAGGTATCAGAGAACATTTAACCCTAGCGTGGCAGAAAATTAGAATGCGACGTGTGATTCGTGTGGTTATCCATGTCAATTCCTGATGCAAGGCAGCACGAGAGACCCGAGATGGGTTACTGATGAGGGGAAACCAGCTTAAGATATACATGCGACGCGCCGGTTTCCGGTTTGGACGATGAGCAGCGTCAGCCAAGGCAGGTCGAACCAACAGAGAGATGGTGGCGGCGGCAGGCCGATGCAGTGCCCGGCACGATGCCCGGCAAAAAAGTCCGGTACGCTATTCTGGAGCAAGTTTAGACCGTGACGGATGCGGCGCAGTGAGATCAAGATCGCGTTGCCGCAAGGCAAAGCAGTTCAAACATCGGGCCACGCGCGCTACGGCTGTGCAGTATCCGTACACGAGCGTAGTAGGGATACAATGTCAAGCCTGTCACGGAAGAACGCCGAGACTAACGGCCCATGAACAGGTGGTTGGGCGAGTCGCGACAGAAAACAGGCAAAATTAGAGAAGGAGAAAAGAAAAAAAAGCTCGGGAAAAGGAGGAACGAAGACCGGGTGGAGAGGCTCCCCCGAACCCCAGACGGGGTTGAAGGCCGAGGCCACAGTTCTGCGCTAGCCCCGACTGGGGAATTGCGGGTCCGGGGATTGGGTGTTGGACCCTGGCGGAACGTACCGCTTCATGAGGAGAAGCAAAGGATTGGTCGCTCGAGTCGCTGAGACAGGATGCAGGAATGGAGAAATTCTCGGATGGAGCCCCAGCATGACTCGGGAGTTGGTCTAGAACAGAGAGCAAACGGCTCGTGTAACGCAGAGGATTCGGGCTGGTCTGGTGATGCGTGGAGCGGTTGATATATCATCCTTTTGAAAATGAAAAGAGCAACGGTTCCCACCACTGTGAAGTGTGAAGATGTTGCCGGAGGTGCGTTCAGTCGGAGCTGAGGCCGAGGATATCCGAAATGCTCCCGGCCGGTGCTTTGTTCTACCTCAGGCACCCAGACCCTCCAGGTGTTCGGTCGTCATCCCAAGAGCGAAACAGACACTGACATATCACGTGCATCTTTGTTTC